CCGCTTCTTTCAATAAAACTCACTGAGGCCGTTATAAAGGCATGGGAGGTCACGTTGAAGGCTACTTCCGGATGCGCAGCCAGTGTCTGAAAACAAGCATATGCCCGCCCTGCCTCTTTTTCCCTCTTCTTCCCTGGTAAACAGCGAGTGGCCCAAAACGATCGACTCCCACGGAAGTGAAGCAAAGCCACCCTCCTGCACCCGATATCTGAGGACACAATGTATATTTCAAGCGCTGACACTTCATGCCCCTTCTTGTCACACGTTCAACCGCACTTATCCCTTTAACTACCGACATCATTTGCTTAGGGTGGCAAGAACCTGCGAAGTACCAGTATGGCCCTATGTGCGGCGATAATGTCCGATGGTCGGTTTAGTTACGAAGTGATGTCTGGGGAGGAAAATGGAACTCTTGAAGGGGGACTTATAATCAGAATACTCCAACCACCCACCGACAAAAATCAATCCGTCCGTAAGCATAGATGATAACCTCTGCGAGTGGTCTCTTTTGTCTCACCATTACCCTCTTCACGAGGTTTTTTTATTAACCCTCTATACACCTTCTTTCTTCCATGGACAATACTCTATGCGTAGCTGCCTTCATCTCATCGACTGTTAGATGGCCAAAATTCAACAACATGCCTCGGCGACGCGAATACATAACAATTATTTGGATCAAATATCCTTTTAGCCACAGAGCAGCCTTGGCCAGATCTATCCAACCCAAACGGCGGGACAAAATCGAATTAGTTGTGGGCTGAGTGACGCCCATGTTTACTCGGACCGACTGTAACGAAAAAATAAGCCTGTGAGGCAATTTCTTCCCCACTTTTCTTGCGTCTGGGGCCAATGAGAAGGCATCTCAACCTCTAAAGGTATGAAATAGAGCTATTAAAGCCCTCAAGTTCTTCTTATGCTGGTGGGTTTAAGGATGTCGACAAGGGTGTAACGGAAAAATGATCTGAAAATCCATCCTGATCACCCCATTAGATAGTATTGACATTTATTTTAATATTTTTACCCTCGTCGTAGATGGTGTATCTTTGACCCTAGCCGATGTAATGTTATTTGCTTGTTTGACTGTCTTATTTGACCGTGCACTCGGCATTTGCCTTTGTTTGTTTGAGACTTATCATGAATGTTTCACTTTCCTATTATATGACGCTGAACTGCTGACAAGCTGACGTTGTTTTACTGTGCACGACATTCTTGTTTCGGTCCAACTTATGGTTGTGCTGTGATTTGACTGTTTGTCTTTTGACTGTCTACTGGGAACGTTTGTTTGTTGATTTGGTTTTGGTAGGCAGAGTTCTGATCCCTTTTGTCGGGAATATTCCTATTGACCGACAGGTACTTAACAGTTGTATTTTTTAACCAGTTTTTACTGTGCAGTACGTATTTGCACCCGAGAATGTTTTGGACTGTATAGTTACCCAACGGCACTGTTGTGGTATTTTTGTAATTTTGATATAACTTATTGTTGCCTTGATAGTACCACAGATTTTGTTACGAATCTACTATTGAATTACTACAAACCGTGTTTTGATATTTCGATCCAACCTTTGACTGTGCATCACTCGCGGAGTTAGGAAGCTATACAGTAGAGCGCAGGAACTAGTCAGATTCACGTCAGTTGGCACCGCCTAGCTATTTCCCGCGTTCAGGCCGAGATTATTGGATTCTGGCCGCTACAGTACTGGGCAACCCGTCACTGCTGTACGTGGTAAGCGCAATGTGTTCCTTGAATCTATCCCGGGCGGGGAAGGTGACATGACCACGGATCCAACCTCAGATACCAAGCAAGTCCCTCTTGATGTTATTTCATGCCGTGGCTCTGACAATGGTACAGTTATTGACTATAGTAAGACTAGTCCTTGTAGGACCTCTGCTCAATTGAAGGTACGACAGTTGGATGAAAGGCAAGCGTCAGAGCTTCGTGAATTCAAGGCTAAACAAAGACAGGAAAGGTTGCGTCTTCATAAAGAACTGAATTTATCGGATGTGAAAGGGAGTTTGGGTGACATGTTTTCGTTGGACGATGATATAAAGTGTCACAAATCAATTTGTCCCTGTATTGACACTTGCAACAGGCTTGATCCCCAAATGACTAGTCAGATGGGCAGCGCAGAGAACGAATAGACTGCTGCTACTTTGTCCTGTAATAATGTCGGCCACGAGTTGCCAAAGGTAGAATTATGCAGCTTTGTTGGACACCTAGCCAAATACTGGAAGTTTATGAGGCAGTTTGAGCTCTACATTGTCTCTAAGGTTGACGTTGAAGGACAGAGGCCGTTATACCTGCTGCATTACCGTAAAGGTAAGGCCAGGGAGGCTATATTGTGATGCATTATGCCACCATCACCTGCTGGTTACCGCGGGACGCCAGATGCACTTAAACGTCTGTTCGGCAGGACTCACGACGTTGGCCGGGCCTAACGGGGGGATTCGATGGAATGTTCTAACACAGAACAAAACGATGCTGGGGTTGGCCATAAGAACGGAAAACTGCCCTACGGCCCTAGAACAAATGGACTATGCCACAGACCTTAACTCTGAGAACTTTGGAAGGCATAGTAAAGAAACTGCCCCCTGTTACAGGTGGAATGAACGGACTGTCGAAAACTTGGCGGAGAACGAACGAGAACCCACCTCCCCAGAGTTGACGCAGTTTGTGTCAGTACAGGCAAGCATTTTGCTAAGTTGGTTCGGATAGTTGGCAACAAGCAGTCGACGACCAAACAGTAAAGTAGCGTGTTCTACGCAGCAGTTAGTGCCCACTGGGCAAGTAACGAAACCTTCATGTATAATTTGTTGAGGAAGCCACGTAGTCGCAAAATGTGCCACATCCCTGGGGCTACCGATGGATGGGAGATGGTCGAAGGCTAAAGAAATTGGTTGTCGTTTTTCTTGTTTTAAAAAAGGCCACAGGTCTGTAGAATGTAAAATTCATAGGGTGTGCAGTGTAGAAGGTTGTAAAGCATACCATCACCCTCTGCTATATAAGTAGACTAACTGTGCAGTAAGCGAACAACTGGAGGAAGGTAGTTGCGGATGTACTGAGTCTCTCAGAGAAAGCGTGGTTTGGGCCTACTCCCGGTACGCGTAAAGCACGGTAATAAAGAGGTTTACGGTTACGCTGCTTTAGACAATGGCTCTGATACGACTTTGATCACGAAAGATGTTTTGCAACTTCCAGGATTGTCGACTGATGGCACGAAGACTACCATCAAAACCATCAGCGGAAGTAGATTGGCGAACTCAGTCAGCAAGCCCTTTGAAGTCTATTCACTAGACGGAAGTGAATGCATACTTACAGATCGAGCAGTTGTGGCAGGAGATCTCCCAGTACGGAGACCTAAAAGGTCGATGCGAGAAAGTATTAAGGGGTGGCCGCATCTCACTGACGCGCCCTGGGCAGAGGTGGAAGTTTTGCTGCTCACTAGTCGCTACGTACCTGAAATTCACTGGGTTCTGGATCAGAGGTTAGGGGGCAGAAAAAGCCTATATGTTGTGAGGACATTCTTGGGTTGGGTAGTGTTCGGTCGGACAAGATTTCGCAAGCAGAAGGAGAGGTTTGTAAGTTGTATGTGTCGGTCAGATTTATCAATAGATCAGTGGAGCAAGGTACTTATTGGGATACTGGACATTTTGTTGTCCCTTTGCCCTGGAGAGTAGAGTCTAAGACTGCGTATGGTGAAAGCGAAGTAGCCAGGCAACGTTTAGAGAGTTTGAAAAGTAGACTAATATCCTCTGAAAGCCAGCGCAAAAACTACACTAAGCCATGCAAGAGACCATCAGAGAGGGATATGCAACAGTAGTTCATGAGCCCCAGCCTAATCCTGACTACCACCCACGAAGGTATTTTACGCATCATGCCGCGTTTAGCCCCAAGAAGCCAGGGGAGGTAAGAGTTGTACTGGTCTGTGCTGTCAGGTTGTCCGGAACCTCTTTAAATGACCTTCTGTATCAGGGACCAGACACGACAGTGGACTTGGTCGGAATATCATCGCGTCTTCGCAAAGGACCGATTACCTTGACAGCGGATGTGGAGGAAATGTGTGCGACACCTAGTCCTCCCGTGTTCATTTTTGTATTGAGTCTATATGCAGTGGTACAGCTCTTTTTTCAGGCTCAAAACGTTAAAATTAACTTTACTTAGACGCTTCCTGCACTACCCTTTAGACATCAGAAGGCTCGAGGACAGCTGACGTCACTGTGGTGTCATAGACGCATAAGGGGCTCTGGAACATGCGGTCACTATAAGTCAAAATTAGATGGACAGGTCATACATAGAACCGCATCGGCAAATCCCCACACACATCTGAATGTTTATTTGTTATCTCAATTACCTGGAACTATGTTGTTTGATAGACACTTAGGCCTACCATACGACAGGATTAGCTATAAAAGTCAGCGATAAAACTGGTTTATGGAAGAATAACTGATCAACAATCTGGTTAGCATTATCATATATATATATATATATATATATATATATATATATATATATATATAACCAACATATACCATGAAGTCAGCAAGGTACTTCTTTTGTACAAAATATAGATGTTCCACATGATAGACATAAGCACTTAGTTCGATCCGATGTTACAAAAAAAACTGTTGGAAAAAGTTACATATTCCAAAGCCATCATTATGCATAAAAATAGCATGACCATACTCTACACAATGACTTCCCCTTGATCTGTTTATCTTTCAAACACTTGTTCTCATTCTTTTTTCTCGACACACAATATCCTCCAACCACATCCTCTCACCTTTCACTCAACATTCATACTCAGTTTTATAAACAAAAACTCGTCTAAAGCATCAACATAAGAGGATTTCAGTGTTCAATATGTCAAAATATGTCACAGTGAAACAAAGATCAAAAGATCATAGAAAGTAGGAATGAAAATGAAAGGATTAATTTAGAAGGGAGTATAGACTATGCTCTTTTTTTCTAAGTGTATCACTCTATATCATCCTGTTTCTCGCTTTTATTGTTTAACAGGTAATTTAAATGATGACACATGCACCGGTTCACCAGGTATTTTAATCAACTTTTTTAACAGGTTCACTTTTTTTACAGTTGCAGAATCAGATTCAACTTCATACAGTGCAGTGAGATTCGATATCATTACATCGTGTAGACAAAATCGACGACATTGTGTATTAAGTAGAAAAGATGTAGATGATCCTGTTGAAGAGATATTATCAAGAGGATTAGGCAATAACTGTCCAGTTAGTCCGACTGTTGTTAACTTCTCCAAAGCTCCAATTGATTCAGTTAACTGTCCAAGGTATAAACCACAGATGGCTAAATTATTGGCTGCCTAAAATATTGTAAATCAGGGAATAAAAAAATGTATAACGTGCACAAATACAAAAAGTGTAACAGGAATATAAAGTGACACATTAATAAGTAGCGACAAAAAGAGCAGTCAATAGAGAAATTGTTTTCGGATCATGATCAGATCATGCATGCACTGATATGAGAATCTGATTGGAGGAATTCGACGTCATACAACAAATCGGATTGGTTCATTTGTGGCTTCATTTTCTGAGAGTTTTGTAAATACATATACATCATGTATTTGCCTAAGAAAGTTGTCGTTGTTCTTGCAGTCACAGGCTGTCTTTCTCTTCTGATTTTTCGCGGCTTAGTGAAGCAGAAGGTATTGAGGGAAGTCAGTCGTAAAAGTATCCCGTTGAGGTGTCTATTGAGTCTCAGTATCATTATACCCACCCTCGTAATTCCACTCGGTCACAATATACATTACATGGATTAATACGAAAAATGAGAAGATACAGGAGTAATTAATCAATTAATTCAAGTGATCGGTTTGTAATCCATTGACAGAACCATTGAAAAACTGGACGACAATCGCACCATATAGGGAATCGACTCAGGTAGATAGAGTACAGACCATTGGATCTCCATCCAACGACTAAGTGATTCAGTACTCCCTGAAAGGACTGATGGTCCCAAACTGGATCCCTTATGAGATCCTGAATGTCCACTTTTAAGAAATCTCTCACTAGGATGAAACAGTTGTGTCGCCTAGCACTCCTGGTTCCTGAATGATTTCCTGGCTGATGTCAGTGTATGATAAAAACTACCTTGAAATAATTTATTGATGACAGTGTGTTATAAACTGGCAACTTTATGCTTTTTATATCTGGTTAGAGAAAATAAACAATATCCAATGTCTGTCTACACGATGGAAGCCAGTACACTTTGATAAATTCAGTGGTCGATAAGTGGTCTCCATCAGGTATCAAAATACACCAAGTCTCTATAAGACAATATGCCACAGAACACAAGAGAAGCATCCTCTGACCTTACCAACCTGCACAGTAAACTACTTGACAGCTAGCAATGGACTCCGGGATGCGCGTCCCGTCCTATTCGGCATTCGTCGGCTGGATGTACCTGCACCTCAGTGGCTAGGTGATGCTGTCCCCACTGAGACTCAAACCCAGTACCCATCACTTCAAACGCGGAAGCGTTTTCCACCGAGGCACAGGAGCCAACCCTTGTTAACCTGAGGTGTACAAATCTCAAACTTCTACAGAACTCTATTACACAAACACTGAAGTGCACTGAAGTACACTGCATATTCTAAAGTGAGATAAAGTTTAAAACAGTAACAAACATTACAGAGTTGACATCTTATACAGAACTAACAAACTGTAACATTTACTTGAACTAACCACTGAAACTATTCTGACACATTAACTATTCAACAGGAATGAAAGAGAACGTTCTAACAATCTAATAGAAGTTTTAGACCAGTAAACAGTATAAAATTCACCATAGTAATGAAAGGTAACAGTAAACTGATTGAATGCGAATTATACAGCCGGTTTGACAACACTTACTACTATAATATAGTTCACAAATGCGAATTCCAAGTCTATTGCTGTTATATACTCCGAACGGTTATCATACGCACGCTTAACTGACAGCTAACTTCGTACGCAATAACCACCGACCACAACCAAGGATGAACAGAGAAGAGAACCCAAACTGGATGGGAGAGTTTATTCCTGAGAGCATAATAACCAACTAGCTAATTCAAAAACACGTGAGATATGACCTTGTCCGCAAATTGGGTCATTAACATAGGCGCATACGGATTAATCAATCAGCGAATTACATTACGAATGGGGGCAAAAAATAAACTAACTACTAGTCATGCTGTAAACATTGTGTGAGAATAACAAGTTAAAAATAATCAAATCAACCACAATGTTTTATGCAAAACTGAGGCCTTACAACAATTACTCTGTTATAAAACAATATAGCTTAGACACATACACACACTAGAATTGTTCCAGTTTCAAAAACAATATCCTGAGAAAGGATGTTCAACCCTTATGTGATTGGTGTATATCGATGTTTTACAAACTGCTGTGTTTTGTTTTATTCCTAGTGGTGCTTCGCTTCAATATAATATTATAGAGTAACCAAGATCACTTTAAGTTGTTATTCGTCGTAGACTGACATCAGTTGGAGGAACAAAGGAAACCTGGGAGCACTGGACAGCTGCGTCGTCCTAGTATGGGGCTCCTCAGCAGTGCGCACCCACGACCCCGCCTTCCACGGATCGAACCCGCGACCTTCAGGTTCCGTGGCCAGCACGTTACCATTGAGCCACTGGGTTGGAATCCAATGGTCCACACTTCCAACCTCTGTTAGCTCACGATATAGCGCAACCGTCACCCACTGTCATCGTTGAGTAACTGTCCTCATGACCATTGGATTCTGACCCAGTGGATCAATGGTAACGTGCTAGCCGCGAAATCTGAAGGTCGCGGGTTCGATCTCCGGTGGGGTGGGGTCGTGGGTGCGCACTGCTGAGGAGTCCCATACTTGTGGGACGAAACGGCTGTCCAGTGTTCCCAGGTTTCCTTTGTTCCTCCAACTGATGTCAGTTTACAATGAATAACAACTTGAAATATTTCCAAATCTCCACAACTCCCTAAATAATCAAGAATAGTTTGAGTTGTTTCCTTCTTTCTAAGTAAAAATTAACTGTCAAAGTAATAGGCAACTAAAAAGATTTCATCCAAAACAAGCCATGGAAACATTAGTCATTTCTCTCTCCACCCTCCATAGAAGAAGTAAAACCAGAATATATCATCTTTAAAATGAAGGTAGAGGAGTAAAATTATAGTATATATTAAATCAATAATTACTCCACCATATAAACAACTACATAAACATACCATAAAATTTGGCTGGTATCCATCACTGTTGTGACTAAAAATGCTTACACTTCATGTATGATAATCACATACAGTCTAATCCGATAAATGAAGTAATTTGAGTAGACAGAAACCAATCAGCCTGATCTGCAAATTTCTTCAACTAGATAAGAGTGATATGAACACCAGAAGGCCGCTTTATTCGTCTAGGGTAGAGCTTATCAGTGCTGTACCCGGACAAATTCAATTCATAGAGTCAAGTTAGTCCAGATCCCCTAAATGTGATTGGCTGGCTAGCTGACAGGCATAAACTGGTATACTTTAAAATAGGATGATCAAATTGAAAATGATTTACCATAACAACCGTCAAGTTTTTAGATCATTTTGATCTGAATGGTGAAATCTACAGATCAGCCTAAGTGATTTCTAACTACTCAAGTTGTTCAGTAGTATATTTCGCTAGTTCATGACACTTTTATGTTAGAGATCACACTTTATCATGTTGACTGACGGAGGGGTTTCCAAATGAAACCCTGTTGATACCACAACTGAGAAGTTGATAAAAACTACTCAGCTGTAATAAATATCAACATGAGTTATACAATTTGTAAATTATTGGCAAATTAATAATCCTACTTCTAAGTAATTCTAAATGCACGGTATAAATATACTGCAAGTTATTTATCATTAAACTCACAGTCACATTTGTAGGATCTAAACTTAAAACTTCTTGGAATAGTTTTCTGGCTTCTTGATATTCACCTTTACCAATACATAACAGAGCACTGAAATAGATACAAAACAGTTAAATGCAAAATTTATACAGCGTTAAAACGGATACAGCTAATGTCACTTAACAGACAGACAGACAGAATCAATGTAAAGACTTGTATACAAGTTCATCGGTTCGAGTTGGTTGCCACAATTCACACGAGTATACAAAGAACAGGTGAATCGAATAAGAGTGATACCATCAAAGTAGACAAAATTATCTGAAAGAATAAATAGTTTGAAGATAACGGTTAGCGCAAATATATAAACTTTAGAGGACATCAAGGAGTGTATACATCAGCGCTATTGTGACTAATTCTCAGCCATGTCATCAAGAGTTCCAAACCAATGGTTTCTATCATCTTAAGCACTCCAACCAGATAGTCCGTATCTCCTAACACTGCTCAAAAACAACACTAAAAGACTTCATTGGTCGGTGCCAAGTCTTCTTCTGGCCACCCTGAACTGTCTTCTAACCTAATCCAGGTACACATGGCATAGCATGTCGAGGTACGCAGTGGCTCAGCATGCGCAGCATATGTCGAAGTCGTCTCAGCCGATGAAGGTTCACAACCTTATCAATCGAGTTGCCTAGTACTCTTCACCTGATCTCAACATTGTTCACATGGTGATTCCATCAAAACATAAAGAATGATGCGAGAAAACTTGTGATCAAAACCCTGTAGTCGTTTTATGTCTTCTACTTTTGACGTCATTATCTCACAGTCGCACAACAGGACAGAACGGACTGCAGCGCAGTACACTCGTGCTTTGATAGATAGCCGGATATCTCACCGACGTCAACGCGACGTCAACGCAAATTAGCAAATGCCGAACGGGCCTTCGGTACCCGAGCTGAGATTTCGTCAGAAAGCAGCCCGTTCGGGCTAATGCAACTCCTCAAGTAAGTGAAGTGGTCGACGAATTCCATCACTTCCCTTCCTATCACCAAACTGGGAGTACTTGCAGTAGACCAGTCATGAAGCATCATACTGACACAGTTTCGTGTTTTCTGCGGTCACGTTACTTGACATGAGAAGTCGTTCACGTAGAAGAATCCTTCGAAAAGTGCGCAGGTACGTCCACGTCTAGGCGGTTTGTGTATATGTGCGTGGGGGGGCGGGCGGGTCACCGATACCTGTCTACAACTGCCGCCCGTTTAGTACCCCCTCCCCTGCCGTCAAGTGGTGCCGATTTGTAATTAAAGCTATCTAAAACTCGATCAATTCCTCACAAACTGCTCAAATAAAATTCCTAAGAATTTGAAAAAGCATGAACACAATACAGCTTACAAACGACTGAAAACTGACGAGGAGTGAAGTAATTTGATAAAATAATGCAACCTAGTGACCAGTTTCAGTTTTATGTGCTAGGCTGTGAGCTACACTCAAGGTTTTATGCTTTGTTACATTATCTCATTGCTTGGGTTGGAGAAGCCGTCAAGTTTGAACCTGAAACCCGGTGCTTTAGAGAGAACCACTTGAGTCCATGAACAACATGCCTTCATCAAAAACCCACAGGCAAGTGGAATGCTGTGAAATAATAGAGAAATATAAAATATGCTGGAATATAATTTTTAGTCCACAGTAGTTTCATTAGATATCGAAAGATTACAGTTCCATTTAGCGTCCAGTTGTGTAAAACGCTACATGTTCACCGAATAACCAATCTAGTGGGTTCAAGGTAAGGATGAATCATTACTGGCTACTACTACTACTACTGAGTTAAAAGTAGCTTGTCCAGGTGCTAGAGTGAGAATTGCATTTGAAACTGTTAAAATCAAGTGATGTATATGCCTAAGACCCAACTTGAACTAACTGACAAAATCTACGTAAAACCTCGTACACAGATGCATTGGCTCAAGTTGCTATATTTCACAGTAGTCCATGAAGAACCTAGGATAACGCTTTGTCGTTTGGAGCGGTCGAACCCGGTTTGAGTCCTAGTGGGTACAACATAGCAGACACATCCAGCTGACTAGTCCCAAATAGGACGAAACGTGCGCTCTGGATTCCCCTGCTAGCCATTATCTTTCATTAATAAAAAATCTAAACACCGGCAATATTGAGGTATCCGCACAGCAACCCATATACCAATGAAGACAGATCAATTCGGTTCAATCAACGATGGGATAGTACAAGTAACAACTATACATACAAGCCTATTTATAAGTGAATGTCGTCTTTGGAAGTATTCAACGCTATCCAGAAATAGACATATTCACTACATGAGTATATTAACCCACCATTTATGATGTAGCAACAAATGCACAATAAAGTACGTGAAATTTTCAATAAGTACAACTAAAGCAACATAAATGATGTACATCAACTCGCCAACTATGATATAAAATAGTTCATAATAACTATATGAAAACATCGACAAAATCAAATTATCTACTAATATATTTATCTAAAATGTGTACATTATATTGTATTGTAAGTTAATACTTCATTACTTATATTCACTTAACAAAACAGACAATAAAGTGAGAAAAAACTTTTGATTACTACATCATTCCAGCTGAAATTCGCTTGCTTGCACCTCTATTTATCACCATCTTTTGAAATAGTATCGTTCAAAACTACACCAAGATATATTCGTCTGCATATTGCTGCTAACAAACGAAATATTTCAACGCATAATGAGCATCTTTACTTATATAATCCCGGAGTAGTATATTAGAACAAACAACCCAACAAAAAAATGATAATATGATGCTCCCTCTCTCTAATTCAAGTAGATTTCGAATGGGATGAGAAGTCCTGACTAGGCAGCAGCCAGTGTGAATACGATCAAGCGATAGTAAAGCGTCACGAATTCGCATGGTAATCAGGCAAAGCCCAACCTTGTGATTGAAGGGAAATAAAAATCTGATCAGCAGTCAGATTTCGTATCTCAGTTCCTAAAGCATCAAGCCAGAAACCCAGAGGTCGCTGGTTCGAATCTGGCTGCGGTTCAAATTTCCATTTCACCTTCAACCATCACCTAGTATAAACGAATATCTTGTATTATTCCTGCTTAACGTTTGGATCTTGCTAGGAAGATTCTTTTCCGGTTAATATCCAAGTTTTGGTACGGAAGGCGATGACCTTTACGATTATCCAATTACATCATGATATGGAATAAAGATGAATAATATACAGGCGAGTGAGTTAGAAAATCATTCAGACTTTCTCCAAATGTGGAAGTAAAGTGGAACAAAAATACGGTGGGGGAATTCCGTTCGACTATGAAAAGTACAATAACCGAGAAGTAATTTGGCAACTGCTTCAACACTATGGAATACCACAAAACCTTTATCAATCTCAGTCAACAACTATATGAAGACGCCACATGCCAGCCAAGTAATTCAGAACACAAAGCTCAGTGATGCCTTTGAAGTGAAGACAGGAGTAAAACAAAGCTGTCTACTATCACCCATGATATTCCTGATTGTAGTGGACTGGATCATGCAGAAAACAGTGAAGAGCTATGAGAAGAGGGGGATACGCTGGACTGCGGAAAAGAACCTAGAAGATCTGGATTTCCCAACGATGACTTGTGTCTGATGTCACACAAACTTGAAGATCTACAGGCGAAAATTAACAAGTTGGCAGAAGAGGCAGCGAAGACGGGACTTCAAGTGAACGTAGAGAAAAAAGAGGTGATGAAGATACACAACCAACACCACCACCAACAACAATAAGCTCCAATCACCATCAGCGGGAGAAACTTAAAGGAAGTAGCCTTTTTCACCTATCTAGGCAGCACTGTTTCAATTACAGGCAGCACAGACGAGGACGTCAAAGCCAGCCAGGATCGGAAAAGCAAAACAGGCGTTCATTGACTTGAAACCAGTGTGGAGATCAACTGCACTCAACATAAAGCGTGAACATGATCCGGATTTTCAACACCAATGTCAAGTCAGTGCTTCTGTATGGCTCAGAGACTTGGCGCGTTACGAAAGGGATTTCCAAAAAATTACAGACATTCATCAACAACTGCCTACGCTCACTCATTACTGAAGATCAGATGGCCAGAATAATGGGAATAAGCAACAAGGAACTCTTGAAACGAACCAACCAAGAACCTATCGCTCAACACATATGCAGAAGGAAATGGAGATGGATTGGGCATACACTGAGAAGGCCGACTGGGGACATCATGCGTCAGGCCGTCGAGTGGAAGCTGAATGGGAAAGGACGAGTTGGACGTCCCAGGGTGACATGGAGGGGATGGTGTGAGGAAGAAATTAGAGCTTCTGGGCTGTCGTGGAGCCAGGTTCAATAGTTTGCAGAGAACAGAGTGCACTGGAGACGTGCTACTGAAGTCCTATGTTCCCCTAGAAACCCAAGGGACAAATGATAATAATAATGAAAACTACAATGGGGTTGTAAGTGACTCACAATTCATTTTTACAGGACTACGAGGATATGAAATATTTTTTGATCCAATCGTCAAAAGATGCATAACTCATCGTTCACAGTTCGTGGATGTTTCGAACTCGGTTGTGCACGTTTAACCCTAAGGCGAAAATTCAATGTCTAATGAATGAAGACTTCGAAAGCCCAGGGTAGTTTTTGATTAAGTACAAAAAATTACGAGTGTAGTAAGTCTAAAGTTACTGTAACATTGATTTCAGCCTCCCTGGAGGAAGCGAAAAACCTCTTGAAACTGCTGACCAGTTTCAAAAGACTTGTTGAATCAACTTCAGACAATTCTGAGGATACACTATGTATGGGTACGAAGAAAGCTAAACAATGAAGCAATTGTTAATCACTAATGATCCTTCAGAGGATATAAGAAGCCTTCTTCAGATTTTCTGTACAACTTCCTAGACATAGAAATGGCTGAAACGCAGGCAGCATGCAGTCAAAGTAAATACCCTTTGACGAGCTGCCTTTGAGCCACTTCTTTCACTAATCTCAGGGTAGCTTATCAAATGTCAACTGATGTTCTACAACACGTCAAGTGGAGGAAAGTTTGCTGCATCTTCACGTGTACTAGCACCGACACGAAATGCGGACCCCATTTACAGCCAGTAAGTTTACATAACAGTTCACGTCGACCACTCCTGTCCTCATCAATGGAGTCCGTTATCAGAGAGATGCATATCATCCTGCCAAGAATTATGCTTAAGTCATAATTCACAACGATAATAGTACACAGAGGGAATTACTGAAATTTTGACAGTAACAAGGAAGATTCTTTAACTTTTCTCGATAGATACCATAAACAGAACATCATCCTCCAATATCATTTCCATCGACAACTTTCATGTCCACTTTCCACTGCTAACGGAGGAACAGATGGATTTTTTGGAAGTATCTTTGAAGGATGAACACTTCAGAGGGATATTTATGAGTCACAGTTATTAAAGTCTAAATTTTCAGACCGCGAAGATGACTGCAAAGGTACAAGATGAGTCTAAGTTATCGTTGAAGATAATGATGAACACCACCCTAAAATCAGATCTGATGGGCTGGCTGAGATCGTGAACTATAACTTCTACGAAATAATGAGATGTAAGATTCACACTTATCACCATGTTCCTAATAACTGTTATAACTTCAAAGTTCGCCGGACTCCTACTTAGTCAACAGGAAATTAAAGGTACCATAGATGCCACTACAAAGTCCTACTTCCATAACATCCGGGACATAGTAGTCAGGCGTTTGAAGACAACAGCCTTCTTGAATTCAATGGTGCATGCCATAAAAATTTTATCTCTCCCCGCTCAAAACACCTGCTGAATTATTTCATATTTTATTAACAATGGTCTACTTTTTACACGACGAATGACCAACCCGGAAAAGTATGCTAACTTCTAGAATTTCAATTTCATGTGATGACTAAATCATTGTTTATATGTACACTATAAACTTTTTTCCCCTACAGAATATCCGCGATATCGGAGAAGAAAATGAATGATAACCTAAACTGGTAAAACATTTGTTTAGAATTATTTACAATAAATATACATATCCTGCTATAACGTACAGTTAATTCCTTTCCAATAAATCACTGTGTCGGGAAGTGTATAAATTAGGCCTTATTTATCGGTAGATAAGGCGACTAGTGGGTTAATAACAGGGAAATAATTCGTAAAGATTGCGGATAATACGGTCATAATACGGTTATTGTGGGTAAATAATCCCGGAATTTTGCGCAAATAATGCGGGCCGAGCAGAAATAAGGCGGGAATTGTGCGTAAATAAACCAGCGTTTATGTATGCCGACTTAAATTATGCTACAAGTGCGTAAATTATGCAGGTAGTTCGTAAAAATTCCCTTTAAGTGTCGCATTTCAGCATTATTTCCGTATTCTTGTTAGACTGGGTCATCAGAGGTGAGAAACTACTTTGAAAAGATGAATAGTTGAACATCAAACAATATATACTAATATACCACGCCGTGATACCTCAAGCAAAAAATAAACCTTATAGGATGAATCATGCTAATTCAGTGGTGTGACCTTAAAGGTCATCGTGGCAACTGATGAGACAGCCAATTACATTCCTTTATTTCATAGAAAAGTAGTTTCCCAGGCGAATTACAGAAGCCTGATTGGTCGTTTCAGTAGTTGTTAGGGTGGCCTCTAAAGTCACTCAATTCGGTGCCCAGCTCTTTTCTAAACCATCAAGGCCATAATAGTAGTGATAGATAGTGGCCATCAGTGGAATCCAGGATGCACATTTCGTCCTCTTTGGGGCTCACCAGTTGGATGTGCCTGCCCCCCAGTGAGTGTTGTTCCCAAGGGGATTTGAACTCGAAGCCGATCGCTTCAAACGCCAGCTGAATGTTTTGTGGCTCGGTGACCTATTGGATAACGAACTGACGTTTGAAGCGATCGCTCCTGAGTCCGAATCCCTGTAGGAACGACATCACTCAATGGGAGGCAGATACATCCAGCTAACGAGTCGCAAATAGGACAAATTGAGCATCCTGAATTCTTCTGTTAGCTAGTATCCATCATTGCTATCATTAGAACACAGGTAATATCAGGGCATCCGTACAGGAGCCCATCTGCCAATTCGATCTAATCAACAACGGTATAATACAAGCAATAATACTATCAAGTACATTGTTGAGTTAGAATACATTCAGAAGAAATATTTCTGCTTAAATTTCCAGTCAGAACCTAAAATTCAACTTTTAGTATAGTAGTTATTATTCGTGTAATAAAACTTGAGCGAAACCTTGACATTCTTCCCAATACTCTTCCGTGCATTCTTTATTGCAATTCATACAACCCATTTATGTAATGGATTGCTTTTTTCAGCAAGTCGTCTACTAAAAAAAGAACATAAACAATGTGTACGATCATCTCAAATAATGGAACTCAATATGTTTAAAGTGTATAAACTCTAATCCATTCTAATTCTTGGTAAGAAAAGAATCATGAGAAATAGAAGCCTAGAAAAACACCAATTCAACTCCAGTTAATTTAGGCTATGGCATACAAACACAAACACATGCATCATAGGCCATCAAAACAGTCTACTGTATTATATAAACTTGATGAATAAGCAACAAAACTTACTTTTGAAAACACTTTCGTATTAACACTTGAGGATTATCATTCAACGATACATCTGCACTGGGCAATGATTTGTCAAAATATGCTTTAGCTGTCTCTAAATCACCAAACTATCAGGAAAAAACAATGAAAAATACGGAAGCAAGAATGTAGTAAGCATGAGAGTAACATAGTGGGTCATGAGGTTTAACTTAGTGATGTGCAAAATGACCATTAGTCCTAACTAAGTTTATTTATTTTACACCACATCAGTAAGGGAATGGAGACAAAATATATAATATTGCCGTTGAATTTATCCTCCAAGTAGAGCCATTGTAAGGGACTGGAAACGCTTACCCTGGGGTCCGAAGGATATTAAGAATCAGTAGTTGACGACTCTCAGTGGTATACAGAAATGTGGCTTAAAAATACTCAACTATCACGAAATGAGTTGCGAGTTCGAACCCCGCTTAGTTTAATATAAGATTAAAATTTGAGTGCTGTGGCAGAATATATTTCTCTTTTAGTTCATAGTCATATTTTGATATGACTAAAGATAATAAAATTGTGTTCGAAAAGTAATCCAATAAGTAATACACCTTGGCTGTGAGATACATATAACAACCTGATTAGCCTACTTCAATTTCGGTAGTCAAATAGTATCACACAGTAAATATAGCTAGCTCATAGTGTAGTGGATGCTACTGACAAGAATGCATATAAGTAGTATGTGTTGAAAGGTCGAGAGAAGTCATAGGCAATTACGAGCTATGGATAAATATTCTGCCCAGAGAAGCGCAAAACATGACATTAGCGTATCCATAACAAACATATTTCGCAAATTGATATTTCAATAGGTTATAATATTTTATCAGTAATGTACAAATTGTCATAATGAATAATCCTTAAGCGATTTATCCTTCGCCTATTCTCTTTCAATAGTATAGTATAGAAACCAATACCGAAATGAACTGCATCTTGGTGATACGTTCCAAAATAGATCATAATGGTACAAGCATATCCAGTACTTATCATCGAAATTTTCAACGTTTTACTAACATTCACTAAGTTATTCTTTTTCTATTCACACACTTTTATCTGAATGAAATTCCCTCATCAGCCTTGTGTAGATTCGTGCAGTAGGCAGTGAGCCACATCTATTACCTGATTGCAGGTCTCAAACCCGTGACCCAATGATTGAAAGTCATTTCCCTAAACCAATGATCCATAACTCCACACACTATCATCTACTTAAATAGCATTCTTTCTGTTAAAGTGTGCAATAAGATTGCCGAAATCTTCACAAGATGTCGTAACTCTCTGAAGCCTTTTACCACCAATAGTGTTGCTTCGAAGCTCAGAGAAAAAGCAAGTGAACCATCGTGTAAATTCCAGATTGGTAGAAAAGACAAAAAAACAATAGGATATTCCATTCTAGTTAGACCTACGAATAATCAGGTCCACTGTAAATATGTATGAAGTATTGAATTTTTTTCACATTTCAACGCTGCAATATACCTTCTGCCATCATCTTGTAGCCTTTTCAATATACATATAAGGTTGCCTACTGTCACCGATTATCTTCCTGATTGTGGTCAACTGGACTGGATCATGCAACAAACCGTGATGAGCGAGAAGATGGGCATACGCTGTTTCACCGATGATGATTTACATCTAATGTCGCACAAGCTAGAAGATCTACATACCTCGAAAACTAACAAGTTGGCAGAAGAGACGAGGCAGCGAAGATGGAACTTCCTTCAGGTGAACGTAGAGAAGACACAGGTGATGAAGATACACAACGAACAACAACAAACACCAATCACCATCAACGGGAGAAATTGAAACGAAGTTGTCTCTTTCACCTACCTAGGCAGCATCGTTTAAACTACAGGCGGCGGCACAGATGAGGAAGTCAGGGCCAGCCAGGATCGCAAAGACAGCAAGACAGACCTTCATTAACCTGAAATCAATGTGGAGATCTACTGCAATGCACTGAACTCAGCATAAACAACAAGATCCGGGTTTTCAACAATAATTCAGTCAAGTCGGTGCTTCTATGTGATGGTTGAGAGACTTGGCGCGTTACGAGAAGCATTTCCGACAAACTACACGCATACATCATCAACAGCTGCCGACTACATCCACTCGATACTAAAAATAGATCAGATGGGCAGAAAGAATAAACAACAAGAAACTCTGGCTGGTAACAACCCAACTGACCAGAACCTATCGCCCAACAAATATGCAGAAGAAAGTGGAGATGGATAGGATTGGAAACTTCACTGGGAAGATTGTTTGGGAACATCAAGTGCCAGGACAAGTCCTCGAGTGGAACCCAAATGGGAGACGACGAGTTGGGCGTCCAAAGGTGACATGAAGGAGATAGTGTGAGTAAGAAATGAAAGCTTATGGGCAGTCGTGGAGCCAGGTTCTAAAGACTGCAGAGAACACAGTGAAATGGCGACGTGCTACTAAAGCCCTATGTTCCATTAGGAACCCAAGGGACAAATTATATATATATATATATATATATATATATATATATATATATATATATATATATATATATATATATAGCTTTCAGATCCCACCGGTGGGGGTCCCTTAATTCCTCCGTAAATAGAAAGGGTGGTAAGGTAACAGGTATGCTACAAAGTCAAATATTTCCAAAATATAATGGTTAATACTTATCTAGAATGACCTTGATTATTTCTAGGCCTTTCTATGATAGAATATCCTATTAATTTTTGTCTGTTCAACCAATCTGAGATTTACGCGTTGGTTCACTTGCTTTTTTCGAAGCTTCGAAGCAACATGATTGGTTGTAAAAGGCATCAGGGATTTAGGGCTTCTCATGAAGATTTGACAATCCTATTTCACACTATAGCACAAAGGAATATATCAATATTTTTATCTACTTCTTTGTATGAGATACAACAAAAATGTAGCAACTTAACTGATGCACTAGTGGGCAAGTTTTTACGTTGATTTCTCTATCATACTCTAAATCACGTATTTAGACTTATGTTAACATGAATTTGCCATTCTGACTTTTTACAGAATAGTATACTTCACCGAAGATATCTATTGTTCCTATTGGTATTCAGTTGTCTGAAATACTCTTCTACAGACAGCTGTTTTTGCCTACGCTATATACCTCGAATTTTGCATAGCTTTCGCCTGTTGTTCTGCCCATGACCTTAAAATGACCTACATGGCTGTTTTCATATAGTTACTAGTTTTTTTTCCCTCTGCTCTCAAAGCTGAAATCCTATCGGTTGTTAACTATTTTAACCTAGATGTGGATTTAGTGTTTTCAACGTCGTTTAGACATGTATATATTCAGCATCGCTGTCAACTGTATTGACTGTTGTTGAGATAACGGTATGTCTTCTGGCACTGGTAGTATTGTTGTTGTGGTGGTTGACGTTCTGATTTGCACTAGAGTTAATTCGTTTGCTAGCCTCGTAGGCTGTTAGGTCATACTACCGGTCATAACAGCTTCCAATATGAAAATGATTTTATATTTCATAAAACCGTAGGATAAATTAATTAAGAAAAACAATACAAGACTGAAGTATGCTGCAGTTAGTACGCAGGAACTGCTATCTTAGAATAGGTTCACAGGTACATTATACAACTTGTTAAGTAGAAGTTACTGGTTCAGGGTAAAAGAACTAACTGGTCAAGATCTCAATTAATTCCTACTATTCACATAAGATGCAAGAATATACAGATAAATGATATCAGTAGAAACTAAATATGAATCAAGAATAATCTAACCTGTAAATAAATTCGACCTAGAATAGCACAAAATCCTCTCAGTGCAACTTGATTATCACAACATAAACCAGAAATTTGATGTACAATTTGAATTGCTGATTGATGGTCGAATTTCTGTAGAAAAATTGATAGACAACTAGATAGTACACGAATCTCTCGACTCTTCCATAAATTCAATGAAGCTAAATTATTTATTTGTAAACAATATATAAAAAGGTATAGGTAAAAGAGAATACAAGAAATTGATAAACAGATTATGAAATCAACTCTAAAGAAAACCTTAACGTATGAAATATAGGGAAGTAAAACGATACAAGTGTAAAATAACAACTAATCTGTTTCATATCAATGAAATGAGGGAAGAAATATTACTTTTCTATTGAAGCTCTAGCTTTGATTAACTTTAGCTTAAGACATGGAAAGGACGTTTTCACATTGCCTTCAATCCCATGATTCTTATCTTGTAGATGCCTGTGTCATACATAATCTATCAAACATGATCCATCTTGGTTTATGCTTTTCTTTGAATTTTTCTTGGTCCTCTTATATCTTACTGATTTCTACGAAAATGTCTGGTAATAACTCATTCTCTACTCTTCCGTTTCATTAATTCCTGTGTTTTGCCTTTATTAACTTGTTGTTGCCCCCTTATTCTTTACTGGACTCCAGAAAAAAGCCTACATTGTATTGAGTAGGATTTTGAAGGCTGTTAGTAGAGCAAGTAGAACACCCCTAACCAAGCTGATAAATTCAGTCGAGGACAGGCATTTAAACCCTTGTAGAGAACTGGCTACAAATATATTATCTAATGACGAGCATCCTCTACATCCACACCTCTCTCCATGTCTGTAGTCTGAGAAGACGAAAAGCAAATATGTTAAACTCTGTGTGTCACGAATCTGAACCCCACTCTACCTACCAAGGTATGGGTGGCCAGAAAATATTACTAGTCCTGATACATATTATTTAACGCCTACTGGGTGAATGTGCGCGTAGTTCATGAGTGTGATTCGATTTGTACAAGATGAATTTTTAAAAAATATTTAAATAGAAGTGAAGTAGGTTGCTATTTGACTGATTACTCGACCAATGGCAAGGAAGATGGAAGGTTTTGACCAGTGGTTATATGTTAATAATAACCACGTAAGAATAGGGAGACAAAACTACGAAATGGAGAAAATAAAATGCGTCAATTGTTAACACTTTTAGTTTATCAAGTAAAACATTGAAGTCAGAGATTAAATTGCTCTGATGGTCCAAAGGATGTGAGATAGGTTGGACAAATTTATTCTGTAGACATACATTACGTTAACAAAGATGAGTAGAAATGGCTTCTACCAGGTGTAATATGTAAACTACACAGAAGATATACATACTACGTTATACATATACATACAACGTTAGTAAGGTGCTTATTCAGCAGAATTCAACGAATATGCACCGAGGATACTTAAGAAGATGAAACAGGAACACTGACCGATATTTTGTTGCAAAATAACTATCCATCAATATTTATCAGGCAGGACAAAATTACTAGAGCGCCAAAACTAGAACTGCAGTCAGTCCCAAAGAAGAATGTCTTCATCAGCCTTCCGTACAAAGGTGACTCTCAGAGTGCAATCCTTAAGCATAGACTTAACACTGCTGTTAAAAGGACTTACTATGCAGCCAGGGTTCGAGTAATCGAAACCACGAAGCCCATATATTCCCCCAAACCCCCACAGCATGTGAACGATAATGTCACATCCCATTGTATCTACCAATTCAAATGTACTTGTGGTGACACATACATAGGGAGGACTAATAGATCCATCCAAGCAAGGGCCTCAGAACATATTCCAAAGTGGCTTCAGAAGCAAATCAAATCACCTGAACCCATAAATATTGGTAGCAGACGTCCAAGTTCTTCCATCGCCAAACATATCGTTGAGACAGGTCACAAGATTGATGTGGCTACTTCCTTTACACCTATTTACAAAACATGTTGAAGAGGGATCCTGAAATTTGTTGAAGCCTTAGCTATTAGGAAGTTCAAACCACCTTTATATGTTCATAAACAATTTGTTGTCACATTAAATCTTCCTTGGTAGATTCAACTATTGAAAACCAAGTTCGACGCACTATTATTTTTTCGCTCTGTTGATTTTCATTGTTATTCGGCGTTTAAGTCAGACTTCCTACCTAACCCCTTTTTATTTTTTCATCCCTTATCTTCATGAGTTTTTATATCAATACCTATGACAAGTACGTGTGTGATCAGATAGTTCGAAATGTGTTGCGCAAATACATTACACGGTTCAGACAATTTACGTCTTCTGACTGTTTTATCGAAGTTTATAAAGGCAAGTAATTGTTTTAAATAAAGGAAAGGTTTGAGTTACGCGTAAAATGGAAAACACGGCTCCATATCAATCAGAAGTATTGAGTAGCAAAATACAAACCTTCTATCGTGAGATATCTACGAGTTTATCGTTATCGAGGCACTTTAAAAAGAGTACGTTAAGAGTAAAAATAGGAGGGCTGTATCCAACCTAGTGGGACTATAAAGAAGGCGCGTAAGCTCTCACGATAACGTAAAGGCGCAAGACAAATAAATGTTCAAGGGAACAAAGAAAGCAATTACAATAGTATCATGTACTGTAAAAGATACTAACATCTACGGATGTTAATAGGTGAACAAGATACGACTCAACAGAATGAACAGTGAAGGACATAGACGAAGCAACATTGTAAGGAAACATGAATTACACTACTCAAAAATACTAAGTAGTATAAAACTGAAGATATAAAAAGAGAACATGAAGGGAACATCCCATTGGGCACAAGAAAACAAGTAGGAAAAGACTTAACAACTAGAATAAAAACATGGGTAAACTGTAAACAGTGGTCATACAGCAATAAAATACTACAGATTTAATATGACTAAAAAAACAAAACAAACATGCTAACGTTATTATGATGGATGTCAAACGACGACTATTAACACTTAACACTTTAGTAGATGCTGCTGACCGACTACACTAAAACCTTCCTACCCCAGGTCGATATTAATCATGCAAGGATAGTATAAAAATGCACATATGTTGTTACAAATAACTTTTTAGTCATTTTCAATTAGTTTAATTTGGAGGTTTGTGGGGATTTTTATTGATTTCAAGTTGGTACGTATCATAAACTGACATCACTTGGAGGAATATTGAAAACCTGAAAGCATTAGATAGATGTTTCGTTCTAGTATGAGACTCCTCGGCACGGAGATCGAGCCCAAGACCTTCAGGTTCCGTGGTCAGCACATTACCATTGAGCCAGTGATCCATGTTTCCCATACTAGGACGAAACAGCTGTCCATTGCTCCCAGGTTCCTCCAACTGATGTCAGTCCATAATGAATAATAACTTGAAATCAATCAAAATCCCCAAATTAAATTGATTTAGTGCTCATTGGTGACTAGCTTCGAGAGATGATTCCTGAAATTCCAGTGAGAAGTTGTGGTTGGTGGGGCAAACCTAGTGACCATGAGGACAAATACTCAACAATGACATTGGGTGATGGTTGCGCTATGTCGTGAACTGACTGAAGTTGGAAATATGAATCATTAGATTCCAACTCAATGGCTCAATCTTAACGTGCTGGCCATGGAACCTGAAGGTCTTGGGTTCGATCCGTGGAGGGGTCATGGGTACCCACTTCTGGAGTCCCATTTCAAATTAGTTTTTCACTTTTTAATACACTACCAAACTATATGTGAGTGGTTTCTCTATCCTAGGATGACTATTTCAACTGCTAACAAACTGTTCTTGAAGAGGAAGTAACTTTCCTTCTTATTGTACCCTTTGGTACAAGTGCATCTTACAGGATATAACAACTTTCATACTATTTATTTGAAAGTGGCTAGCAGAAAACTCAACAATCACGTGCAGTACGTCACCCTTAACGTGTAAGGGCTAGTGATACTGTCTCACCGCTCAGAGCACAGTAAGTAGAACTGGTCCCTAAAGTGTAGGTCGTGTTGAAAGTCAATTTACTTGGACTAATAACCCACAACCCAATTAGTAGTGTAAACCATGACGCATCCTTAGTTCTATTGTAACACTAAGATGCACATACTAACATTTCAGTGTTGGTGTTCCCATTGAATCATAAATCCAACACTCATCCTTTCAACGTTAGAGTATTATTCTATCCATGAGGCTATTGAAACACAATAACCACCTATTGTGAAACAGGTATGAATTTCGCAGTTACTTGCACTCAAGACAATATTAAGGTCCTCATTCAAGAAACCCATATGTACAAACTGATAGAAATTGTGAAAATGAAAAACTGTTAACCAATAAATGAGGATTTTTGTCCTCAAAACAGTTTATGATGTTCATTATAACAACTTATTGTTAGTTAACTCTTATAATTATAAACATCTAGGCCATAGTTTTTATGAATCTCTTGAAAGAAGTTGAGCACCAAGTCAGATTGATTCATTATATAGGTAAGTTTTTATATAATCCCAACACGTTTAGAAAATTCAAAACAAGATTTTTCTGAACATTTCACTGTGTATACCACAGCTTCTTCAACAAAATATTTGGATTTTTATTTAACATCAAAATGTATACTGTCAAAAGGTACATGTAGACATTTCTGTCTTCATGTAATTGGTTAGCTGTGTTTGTTGTTCACACTGATTGTTTCCAGTTAGTCATCATAAATTCATACTGTAGTCTTTGTCATTTATCATCGAAAAACGATTCAATAATCAACGTGCGTGTATGCGTATATTCTACTGAAAAAGCTGTGGCATACACAGTGAAACATTTAGAAAAATCTTGTTTTCAATTTTCTAAACATGCTGGGATTATATAAAAACTTACCTATATAATGAACTCTTATAATGTTTACTTGGTATTAAATTGCCTTCTTCAGAATCAGTAAAATATCATACTTATACAACATGAATTCTTAGATGAAAAATACAGACATACTTTGTCGATAAGCAGGATCTGATTCATTTGTTAAACCATCTTCTTTAAAACCTTTCTCTAGATTACTTCGAATCTAAAAGAAAAAAGAAATCAGTACTCCTAAATTAATAAAAACCTTTTTTAATAATCTATCGAAAAATATTATTTGCTATAAAGAAGGAAGATTATAATAGCTCGGTGGTGTAGTGGATAACATTTCGGCGTGATATAAGCTTGATGTGTATATTTTCATATAGTATAGCAAATACTTCACGTCACAATATAACAGCAAGAACATGTTATACACTACAAAGAAAGAAAGTGTATCTCAGTGTTCGATTGATTAACTGAACAATATTTTATTGAAGTTCATATCCGTATCATGGGCTTGTCACACGCACCAACCTACGACATAGGTGATTCTTATCCATATCCATGTTTATAACGAACGTGAGTTGTTCATTTAATATCGAATTTTTGTGAACTGGAACGATGGGCAGAACATTTCGAGGAACAGTTTAACTGGCCTTCAGCCACTATTGCGTTGCCTGCTATCCAGTCGAATCCTGAATGGAACATTGAGATAGGCCCCCTAACATTTGCAGAAGTCGAAAAAGCTGTAGGTAACTTTAAACGATGAAAAGCAGCAGGACCACAGGGACTAACTCTTGAGGTATAGAAGAATGGTGGTAAGGTGCTCCTAGTCAGGTTAACGGAAGTGTCAACTAGCATATTGGAATTAAATACGGTCCCCTCTGAATGGTTTAAAGCACTGATAATTCCAGTCTTCAAGAAAGAGGAGAAGTACTCATGTGATAACCACAGAGAAATCAACCTGACGAACATAGTGTCTAAAATTCTAGGTTACGTAATTCTTTAACGTCTGGGTGGAGCTCGTCAACAGCAAACTCCAGAAAATTAGGCAGGTTTTAGACCTGGATGCAGGTGTATCGACCAAATATTCACACTGCACCAGGTTCTGGAACATAGGCACGATTACCGACACCCAACACTAGCTGTATTTCTCGACTTGAAGGCGACATTCGACTCCGTTGATCGAGAAGTCTTATGGCAATGTCTCCCACCAAAAGGTGTGCCGAGTAAGTACATCATCTTATTGAAGGTTCTTCACTCGGACACTTGTGGGCGTGTTAGAGAATATTATGAGATGTCCAGGAAGCTATGCTCATCGAGTGGTGTCCGTCAAGGCTGCCCAACCTCTCCATTCTTATCCAACTTTTTCATAGATATTCTCATGAAGGTCTCCCTCTCGTCATCTGACTATACAGAGGTTGACCTAATCACAGGAGAATTTTCGTTAGACCTAGAATACGCAGATGACATAGTCAGTCCTGTTAGGTAAAGACGCTGGCTGATGAGATGCGGAGTCTTCTGAACACTTTAAGTGGCAATTTGAGAATGTTTGAGATGCGTTTCTCATCACACAAATGCAAACTGTCACTCCAGGATTGGTCTTCAACGGTGCTCCACTGCGGCTAACAGTAGACAGTGTAGTGGTTGAGTGTGTTGACCACTTCACTTACCTGGGTAGTCGGATCAGCCCTAGTGGCTTAGTGGCCTATGAAATTTCTTCCCGAATACAAAAGGTTCGGCTGGCTTTTGACAACTTACACCACCTGTGGCACCGCCATGGTATCCGATCCATTTTCAACCTCGCTTGTCTAACAAAGTAACCTTCATTTGTAGCAGTGAACTGATAACAAAAAGCACAAGTTTTTACTATAGAGATCTTCATCATCTGCAAATGTATTACGTCACCCATTCTTACTGCCTTTCTCACATTCAATTACCTTCACAACTCTTTTGTGGATCCAAGTCGAGTAGTACATAACCATTTTTTTTAAATGAAACAATCATCATTGGCCAGCCATACTTGTCTACTAGGATATCCCACTCAGGTGCCCCCTAATTGTCTAAGTTAAAAAATGCTGCCCACTTACAAAGATCAGAAGGGATTAAACTGACTTTTGGGGTTCAGTTACTGAACAATGATTACTTACAGACAAACACAGGCGCAAATGCAAGCAAGTATACAACACAATAAAGGTAAGGATGGACTTAATAATTCATACAATACTCATAGTATTATGTTAAATTATACGTGGACTATGAATAGGAAACGTACTCTACCAATAATAGCTAGTAAATAATATAGACGATCCAGTGCTTCTGTAGAACGATTAAGGTGAAACGGTAACTCAGCATGAAGTAGTCTCAAAGAAAATGGGATAATAGAACCTAGGGGGAAGACAGAAACAATAATAACAATCGGTAAAATATAGATGTTTTTAACATTGATATATATATATATCAATGATCTAGTGAGATATAGAGATTGAACTCAACGAAATACTGAATAACAATCTCAAAATGTACTAACTATCATCCACTGACGAATATGAGTGGTAAGATCAATGAGTAAACAAATGTAGAGCTCTCATTCTTTAAAAATGTTGCCTGATCATCGCGATGTAAGGCCTACATTCTGTCACAGCATGCAGCACGAGGTTATAACAACCGAAAAGTGGAAAATGTGAATCTCAGTCAGATAAGTGTCACCGGTCGTATTGTTTTATTCATTTTATGGTGAACGCTCCCACAAATTTTATTCTATCAGTGAATCCTTCCGTCCCAATTGTCAGGCTTCAACGTATCCGCGTTCGTCAGGTAATGGGCTTGTTGACTGTACTCACCTCCCCCCTTGAGTAGACGTACGTGAGATATGTCTCACTGATCATCCACAATCTTGCAGAAAGTGATGCAGTACACTTTCTCTGAAGCAACAACCCTTGTCCCTTGACTTCCAGAGGCTTGCTCCTGGGCATCCTCTCTATGTCTGGGGCCTGGTGACGGCAAACGATACCCGAGATTCCGGACCGAATACCAATCACATTCTCAAGGTAAAGTACGGGTACTTTCCATGGGATTGCTTCAGCACCAGCGACTGCCAGAATAAGGAAGCTGGACCCCCCTTACTTTTCTTTGGTGTACTGTTTCCAGAACTAATTAACTGAGCGGAGTCCTGACGGATTAAAAGTCAATCCGTGCTTTGGCGGTCCGCGTCACTGACATCGCTTTAAAATCTCATTGACCGCATCTATCCCTGAGTCAATTGGACACTGTCTCAGTGAGAATCCAGAGGGGCAGCGTGGTGGCTCGCCCTCGTGTACGTAATGAGGCCCGACCAGTATTTCCCAGTGCCTTCTACTACCTCAGATTTTCCTGGCCACCAGCTCAAATGACCAAAATAATTTACCTAGGCACGTCACTATGAATGGCATTTGGAAGCCTTAAGAGAGGTGTAGTTACGCCCGCCGTGCATGATCACAAGTTTAATCAAATTACTAGCTAAGATTAGTTGAAGATCGGCTACACGTTAGCAACATCCACAAGTCTTTACGTATCAGATGTGATTGAGAACCAAGTGTATATAAAATGTAGAAGGTCGCAATGCAACTCAACAAATACCTGAAGGTCTGAGCCTTACACAATCAATTAGACCTGTTTATGTGTAGGTCAATGATACTACTTGGCTGCTCAACGCACAGAAAGTAAGGAGAGAGGTGTTCGAACCGGTGACCTACTGGTTGAAGGTCGATCACGAAGATGGATGAACCAAAGCTCCACATATGTAGCAGATAGCTGAGTCACAGTCAAAAATAATGATAAGTGCTTGAAAATTATAATCGTCAATGGTCACCATCAATTCAAAAATAGCTCTATTTCTCGACTTGAAGGCGACATTCGACTCCGTTGATCGAGAAGTCTTATGGCAATGTCTCCCACCAAAAGGTGTGCCGAGTAAGTACATCATCTTATTGAAGGTTCTTCACTCGGACACTTGTGGGCGTGTTAGAGAATATTATGAGATGTCCAGGAAGCTATGCTCATCGAGTGGTGTCCGTCAAGGCTGCCCAACCTCTCCATTCTTATCCAACTTTTTCATAGATATTCTCATGAAGGTCTCCCTCTCGTCATCTGACTATACAGAGGTTGACCTAATCACAGGAGAATTTTCGTTAGACCTAGAATACGCAGATGACATAGTCAGTCCTGTTAGGTAAAGACGCTGGCTGATGAGATGCGGAGTCTTCTGAACACTTTAAGTGGCAATTTGAGAATGTTTGAGATGCGTTTCTCATCACACAAATGCAAACTGTCACTCCAGGATTGGTCTTCAACGGTGCTCCACTGCGGCTAACAGTAGACAGTGTAGTGGTTGAGTGTGTTGACCACTTCACTTACCTGGGTAGTCGGATCAGCCCTAGTGGCTTAGTGGCCTATGAAATTTCTTCCCGAATACAAAAGGTTCGGCTGGCTTTTGACAACTTACGCCACCTATGGCGGCGCCGTGATATCCGATTGTCTATTAAGGGTGGCATGTACTGCAAAGCAGTCCGGTCTGTTCTACTGTATGGCTGTGAAACATCGCCAACGAAGGTAGGAGACATAAGAAGGCTTCAGGTGTTTGACCACTGTTGCCTTCGTAGTGTAGGCAGCATTCCGTGGTGTCACCACGCGAGCAACACAGAAGTCAGGTGTAGAGTTTTAGGGAGGGAGAAGAGGTAAATCAGTTGATGTGGTTGTGAACCTTCATCGGCTGAGATGGTTGGGACATGTGTTACGTATACGTAGTCGCCGACTGCCTCGTTACACAATCTTGGTCGAAGTAGGTTCAGGCTGCAAAAAGGCTCGAGGTGGCCAGACCAAAACATGGCACCAATGTATGAAGTCTGATTGTTGGTTTGAGCCATGTGGAGCAATGTGGACTAGCCGGTTGAGGTCCGCGGGACAAGAGAAACCAGTGGTTAGAGACTCTACGTGATACGGCTCAAAACCGATATCAGTGGCGCAGATGTAAACACATTATGCTCATCTCAATGACGCTGTACTGAATCTCACCATTTTATCATTCTTCCTTTCTCTCTTTTAGTACTTTATATTTCTTTTGACTGAATTTTCTTATCTTCATCTTCCACTTCACTCCCTTTTTACTTGATGTACTGATATGAGCTGTAGTGACTCGAACCGTTAGGCAGTAACGCCTGGTCCTATGTTGATTTGGATGGATGGATGGACCATTGATTCAAACCTTTTATAGAGATCCTAAAGAATCAATAATTGTCATTTAGACAGTGTTTTAAAAAGGGCAAACAACACAATAGAGTTCAATAGGCTAATGCCGATACTCATGCATAAGTAGGTATAGTGCCTTGATCGAATAACTAACCTGTTCGTCCCGGATATAGTTCAGGAGTATACTCAAAATAAACATTTGGTGCATCCATATTTTGAAATGTGGCGAGCTCACGTTCAGCCAACTCATAATTCCGTGTACGAACCAGTAAGGCTAATCGAGTAAGCCAAATCTATGCCGGAAAAGTTACACAGAAGCAATAATAATATTATTAATATGAATTTACAAGAGAATGGGTGAAGTACAAAGCAAAACAACTCATCACCAGTTAAAACCGAGTTAATCTGTAAAGGAGTTCTTGCAATTTAAGCCTTACTCCAGTGCATTCTCAACTCATTTGCTAATATGCAACGAAAAACAAACAATTAAAATTTTTTAGTGTTATTGTTTGTATTACACCGTCGTTGATAGGACCGAATTGACCAGCCTCTGTTGTCATATGGGCTCCTATGCGGATGCCTCGATATGGCCTATCTTTTAACCATGTTTTTTTTAGTAATGATGGGCAGTGGCTAGCAGTGGAATCCAGGATGCGCATTTCGTCCTATTTGGGACTCGTCAGCTGGATGTACCTGCTCCCCAGTGAGTGATGTTGTTCCCGCCGGGACTCGGACTCGGGAGCGACAGGCCATATCGAGGCATCCGCATAGGAGCCCATATGCCAACAGAGGCTGATCAATTCGGTCCTATCAACGACGGTGTAATACAAGCAATAACACTAAAACCTATACCCGTTGCACAAGAAGTGGCTATCGTGGCTCGGTGGTGTAGTGGATAACGCGCTGGCGTTTGGAGCGATCGCTCCCGAGTCCGAGTCCCGGTGGGAACAACATCACTCACTGGGAGGCAGGTACATCCAGCTGACGAGTCCCAAATAGGACGAAATGCGCATCCTAGATTCCACTGCCCATCATTACTAAAAAAATTAAAAATTTGCCGAAAGACACTATTAACTGAACAACTTGGGGGATTAGAAACCACTCAGACTGTTCTGGAGATCTCGTCAACCAAACAAGAGTGATCTAAACACTAGACAGCCATTTCGCTCGTTTAGGGCTGAGCTCATCAGTGGTGTATCCACAAAAATTCACCTCATAGAGACGAATTAATTTCAGATCATTGGAATCTGGTTAGCTGGCTTGGATGGATCGGTATACCTAAGTTAGGATGATCAATTTGCAAATGATTTACAAATTGCACAGTCCACGTCAACATTTTTCACAGTTGATCAGAGTGGTTTCTAATTACTCCAGCTGTTCAGTAGTGGTATCTTTTGCCAATTCATGACACTCTTGTGTTAGATGTCACACCTCTCGGTCTCGAGTAGGTGGTTTCCAACGGAAAGCCTGTTGACACCACAGTTGAAAAACTACTCAGCTGTGACAAATGTCAACATGGACCGTGCAAACCGATCATCCTAACAGAAAACTTATTCAGCACTATCTTCATAAGCATATCTTTATGAAGTTAGTGCTAACGATGTCCCTAAGACTGGTGATGAAACGTCCACGACAAAAATATCAACGCTTAGAGAACATCAAACCACCATCATCCTCGTCATGAGCTATGAATCTTTTCCATCATATGGAAGAACGTTACACTCCTTTAATTACTATACGAAAATAAAGACTGGAAGTTAACATTAAATCAACTCCGTTCAATCTGATCGGATAGTAAAGACTGTACTCGAGTAGCTGAATTAGGCTGTAGAAAAGATGATTCCTTACACATTGCTATGATTTGGAAACTGCTATGTGCTACAGCCTGATATCGAGTGTCAGACAACATCATTCAACAAATTCCTGGTTCATTCCCGACCCGACTGATTAATGGAGAAGACGCGATGGATACCTAGTAAAGTGTTTGGCGTCAAACGATCGAAACAAATGAAAATACAACTGATAGATATATATATAGTTCAGTGTTTTAAATAATCCTATTGATTGGCTGATCAACCGTCTGTCTTTCTGTCTATCTAACTGTACACACATGATCACAAAGAGTACATTTTGATTGGCCCATCTCCAGACTAGTCATTTCTCTCTATCCCCATGTCAGTTATGACTATCGCTTGTTTAAACAACCTATGAGAAATGTAGATTACTCACTTCCAAACAAATGGTCCAAGGTTAAAAACCTACTGTATTCACTTCATTCAGGGGAAATTTGATGGTTAAAAACGGTTTGTCAAGAATGGCGACGTAGTGTCAATAAATGGGCTGTCATTAAAATCAAAAAACCAGAAGATAAGTAAATGACTCAAAACTCTCGAATTCATCTTAAAAATCATCACCATACAGGAAGAAAATCCGTGCAATGGAAGCACCACAACACTTCAGGTTCATGATGATTCATTTGAAGCACAAGAAATGATCATGCGCAAACTAAAGCCACGTCATATCACTTCGGCCTTCTCTAAGGATTGTGATCACTCAGTAAATCAAGCCAAGTGAACTCAGATTCCAATTCAAAAAACGTGCAGGGCTACGGCGTGTTTTGGTTTTAAAATAGAATACTCAGCAAAATAAGTTTGAACAAAAAGTTACGTAACATGACATGAAGAGAAACTGAATTGTGATCAGTCAGAGCATAGCAACAGGAATGAATAACAAATTATTTAGGAAGCGAATAGTGTCAAAACAGTAAAATGGAAAGAAAAAAGAGGGGGTTGGGGAGTAGGGGAGACTGAAAACTAAGACTGGAAGTTGGGGTTAAACAATTAATAATATAGGTAATGTATTTTTGAAATGGATGGGGATTTTTAATTTAGAAGTAGTATTCATCATGGACTGACATCAGTTGGGGAACCATTGGAAATCTGGGAGCACTGGACAGCTGTTTCGTCCAACCAGTATGGGACTCCTCAGCAGTATGCACCCACAACCTGGCTAGAGGTCGGACTCAGGACCTTCAGGCTTCAGGGCGAACGCGTTAACCATTCAGCCACTGGTTCACAATTTCCAACTTCTGTCAATTCACGAAATAGCGCGACTGTCACCCAAGGTCTTCAGTTAGCATCCACTTCACTTCCGACTGCTTGACTCCACAGGTCACGGCTTCTCATTAGAACTTCCTAACATCCATCTGAGAAGCCGTGCATGACCTGTGGGGTCAATCAGTCGGAAGTGAAGTGGATGCTAACTGAAGACCTTGGGTGACAGTCGCGCTATGTCGTGAATTGACAGAAGTTGGAAATTGTGAACCACTGGAAACCAACCCAGTGGCTGAATGGTTAACGCGTTCGCCGTGAAGCCTGAAGGTCCTGAGTTCGACCCCTAGCCGGGTTGTGGGTGCGTACCGAAAAGCATTTCCAACAAACTAAAGACATTCATCAACAGATGCTGCCTACACTCACGCGATACTGAAGATCAGATGGTCAGAAAGAATAAGCAACAAGAAACTCTGGGAACCAACCAACCAAGAACCTATCTCCCAACAAACATGCAGAAGGAAGTGGAGATGGATTGGGCATGCACTGAGAAAATCATTCGGAGATATCACGCTTCACGCCCACGAGTGAAATCCAAAGGGGAAACGACGAGTTGGGCACTTAGGCAAGGGTGACATGGAGATCATGTGGGGAAGAAATGAAAGGTTGTTGGCAGTCGAGTAGCCAGGTTGAAAAGACTGGAGAGAACAGAGTGCAATGGAGACGTGCTGCTGAAGCCTTATGTTCCACTAGCAACCCAAGGGACAAATAAAATAAATATAAAATAATAATAGTAGTATAATAGGCAGTAATGGACAACAACCAGTAGTTTTTTGATAATCATTTAGTTTGTATGTTGTTGCACGTGGGTCGGACAGATAGAAAAGTAAATGTAAGTTTGGTAGTGGAGGTTTATTCATCCAGTATGAAAATTTGCTGTTCTAGCTATGTGTTCCTGTAATAGGCATATGATGAACTGCTGTACGTTCAGGGGCTGTGGTCTACTGAGTGAGATATTTCCTCATAGTCTTGTTGTCAACTCGTCGAATGGTAAGTTGAAGACATTTTAATAGTATGCGAGAGTATGTTTTACGATTATTTGACATTTGAATAATTAAAGTAAGTAACAAAAAAAGGGAGCAAATTGATGGAATATTTTTAGTAGCCTAAAATTTAAGCAGGTTATCAATCAAATCCAACATTATAACCACCTACGCTGTTTTAACAATTAAAGAAACTGGAGATACACTATAAAATTACTGATTTCTTCTGGATCAGATACTACGTTTCAACCCATTGCTATAACTTCCCCTGTTTTGAAGACAATGGAGAAATTACTTCTCCTTCTGCTTGGGCCTTCATTGATGGTTTCCAGAGATCCAAAACAATTTGCTAGCAAACACATGAGAAATACTTTAGATGCTGTCACTGTCTTTCATCATAATACTGTTTCCAGTCTAAACAAAGGTCTTAAGTGTATTCGGTGTGCCTTCTTGGATTACTCATCAGCCGTTAACTCTGTTCCTAGACCACTCGTATTAAATAAGCTTGCCATAGCTCATACTGAGCCATGGGTATAAAACGGCTGTATTCTCATTTTTCTGAAAGGAAACAGCATACAGCCCATAAAGAGATACCCTCCACATCATTGCTTACTGAAGCTGGTGTGCCTCAAGGTGCAGTGCTTTTTCTGTTTCTGTTCTTGTATGTTGATGACCTGACAGTTTCTATTCCAGCTCTGCATTAAATGAATTCTTGTCTGTAATTGACCAATGGTCTCCCTCAAATGGTCTCAAGTTAAACCTTTCTAAATGTCAGATTGTTAATTTTAGCCTCAGGCATAAACAAGACTTGTGTAAGTTGCTTAAATCCCATGATCTCTGTGACATTGGTAGTATTTCTGCAGAAAGTCAATCGAGTGTTATTCATCTTGGATTAAGACATACTTCTGATCTTTGTTCACCCTCTCATATACTGTTGACTTGTAAAAACAACTTTTTGTTTTAGTTATTACATAAAGAAACTGAGGCTCTCTGGTATAACTCAACTTCTACTTTTACAATTTAATAATTCGTTCATTTTAACTATTCTTCTCTATTGTTCCCCATTGTTCTGTCCTGGTCTACTAAAAAGGACTATGTTATATTGTATAGGGATTTGAAAGCCGTCAGCAGAGTGAGTGATGTGCCTTTGGCTCAACTGATTAACAACATTGTAGTTGATAGACATTTAAATTCAGCCAGGCAACTAGCTACAGTAATTTTAACTGACACTGAGCATTCACTTCATTCACAATTCTCTCCTCGTATCTCCTCAGGGGGAGACGACAAGAATAAACCACATGAGACTGTAGACTCGTACAGCTAAGTACAAGAATTCGACGGTACCTTACCTCGCATGCATATGATGTGAGAAATCCAAATTGTATTATAAATTTGTTTGGAATAAAGTGAATTATTATTATCATTGCTTAACAATTCAAACCATCACAGAAACAATAACATGTAAAAGCCTGAAAGAAAACTAATTGTTTAAAAATTATCTTCAAGTTATACTGTTTACCTGAGCAGTATATGGAGTCAGTACTGAACCACTTTTTCCTTCTTGAAAGCCCAAATTCGAGAGAATACGATAGGTAAGATTTAAAGCACAAGTATACCATCCATTAGCCTGGTTATGAGAGAAGAAAATGAGGTTACACAGGATGTAAGGAACAAATTGTAACAGTAAAAAGGCAACTAAAAAACTCTTTATAAGTTTATGCACTGAATTCCGAGGCATTCTTAGTTCGAGAAGGTTTGTACCCATTACCCACGTTTTCCTCGTTAATGCAAGCATAATGGGTAGGGTTGCATGATACTCCAATACTACACTGACAAGAGAGGACTGATATCACTTGGAGAACTAGTGATAGCCTAGGAGGACTAGACAGCTATCTCGTCCTGATATGGTACTCCTCAGTGATGCGTACCCATGAATCTACCTGGGGTCGAACCCAGCACCTACAGGCTTCGCTGCGAGCACGTCACCACTGAGCTACTGGATTGGAATCCAGTGGTCTACATCCTTCAACTTATGTCGATTCGCGACATAGTGCAACTTTCATCCAGTGCCATTGTTAAGTATTTGTCCTTACGTCTGACTTGGTTTGCCCCACAACTCATGACTTCTCACTAGAACTTCGGGAAATTCCATCTCAACGCAGGTCATTAATGAGCACTGAAGAATAATTGAGAGGTTTGTGGGGATATATTGATTTCAAGTTGATTTTCATCGTGGCAGGATGTCAGTTGACGGGGCAAACTAAGTCGGATGTGAGGTTAAATAATCAACGGTGACAGTGTATCACGAATTGAGAAAAGTAGAAAAATGTTGATTATTGAATTTCGACCTAGTGGTCCAATAGCAACATGGTTGCTGTGAGAGCTGACAGTCCTGAGCTTGACTCCTGATGGTATCATGGGTGCGTAGCATTGAGGAGAACGAAACAGCTGTCCAATGCTCCCAGGTTTTATATAATCCTCCAAACGATGCCAATCTGTGATAGATAGCAACTTGAAGTCAATAAATCCTACAAACCTTCACATTCGTTTAGGCTGAAGAACAACAATATCCTAGTATTGACATCATTAATATGCGTATAACTTTAATTGGTCGTGTGAAATTAAGTACGTACAAAAGGTATCACTAATAGAGGACACTGTTGAGACATGCCACGCATATGAACATTTACCGGTATTGCTGTCGAAAAGAGAACTCTAATGAACTAACAGCTGGATTATGTAACATATCGTTGCACTACGTCATCCAGTATTTGTAATTAGTCTATTCGACGAGAAATATAAACTACCACTAAGGTAAACATAGGGAATTCGATTTCATATCTTTGCTGTACAGTAGAAGCTCCTGGTACCCATAAACAGGATCATAAAATGGTCCTGGTTGTATTGTGTTCTCTCAGCTGGGTTGTTTAATTGTGAAGCTTTCATCGTCTTTCTAGACGACGTAATTAGTACTAACTTCAGCATGAAATGAGTTGTCCAAAGAAAGCAACAGCCAAAGAAAACAGACCAAATATCATTTACAAAATCAACTGCAATAATCGCGATCAACACAATACTGGAAAAAGTCGTCATCCTCTTCGCCTTCGTCTACATGAACCCCAATTGACTATTAAATGTCACAACATTTCACTGCTCACTTCGATGCACATGGATAATTGTGAACATGAATTCAATTTCAATAATGTAGAAATCTTCTAAGGGGAAAGGAAACGCAAAGGATGCAAGAAAATTCCTAGAAGCTTGGCATTCAGGTCAATCACAAATCAATAGACAAAGACTCAATCTACAAACCAATCGAAAAAAAAGATCAACAACAGAAAGGTCAGAGGTCAGGTAGAAGAACAACCAAAAGAAAATCTACACAGTCAATGACACAACAATCAAAGGAAGTAACAAATCACGGATTAGTTCGTCAGGGCAAGCTATTAAATCAATCATGGAAAGGTATTGGTAGTTCACTTCATATTGAAGTTGTCTAAAAAGACAATGAAAGCTCCACGATTAAACAATCCGGCTCAGAGAACGCAATACAACCAAGATTATCCACCTGAGCTACAAATTTTCTCCATTATTATGAAATGTGTACAGTAAACTCTTGTTCAGTTCTTTTCCTTACCATGGCTCTAGTTCTACAACTCTCTAATTATGTATAATAATTTTCTATTTATTCTATCTTTATTTCAACTGTTACAACTTTAAAAGTTCTAATCTGTTTTCCTTGCATACACTATTCCAGCTACCAAGTACCAACTTTTGAAAGTACTTCTGAACACTATTCACTACTTAATGTTTGCATGATACATATTGCGTAAGATTAATTTACCAATTATCATAGTATTCTACGTTTTATCGCTCAGTATGCTGCATGATATTCAAAAACTATAACCAAACTGTGTAGTCAAGGTGAGAAGTACAGAGAAAAAACTTTTGTGATTTGTATTCGTTTTAATCAGTTTCGGTCATCATCAGTTTGCTAAACCACAGCTGTTACAGATAGTCCCATAAACAATCATTATGACGATGGGCCTCTCTAAATCAGTTTGACTTGTATTTGAGTTAGAAGTCCAAGTTAGGCAGATAGTGTGATTAGTATGAACAAACAGTTAAGCATTACGGATTCACATGACAATCTCACAAAATCTTTGGTGATTGAAATGAAGCTAATAATTGGTCGGTAACCGGAGTCTCATTCTCATAGCTCAGTAGGTACAGCATCAGGTTAGTAATTCAGAAGTGACTGATTCGAATCCTGCCATAACTTCAATTTTCATTTTACCTTTAATCATAATCTTGTATCACTGATAAAATAATTTTTAGCTTTAAAAATGATCACATTTGCTATTGGATTATTCGATCCACACTAACAATTAACAACTTACAATCAATTCTTTCAAACCATCAACACTTTGATCTACTTGTTCAATAGATGGAGGCCTTCGAATTGCATTAATACCCGGTTCTTCACTTGAATACTGAACTAGTAGATGGTAGAATGGATCAAGTGAAGAAGTAGTATTACTGCCATCTTCAACTTCATAGTCTTTCCCCATCAGAATGGGTCTTATTTCAATTGACTTGAGATTTGAATTTCGATTCATCAATAGACTTCTAGTAGATTCAGAAGGCAACCAAGCATCTCGATGTCTCAAGCGATTCAAACTAGCAATGTCTGCATTAGCCTCTGGTTGAGTCTGTATCGACACAACAGGTTTTTCAGTTGATTCAGGCTAAAAACAAGAGAACTTGGACCAGTTATTGAAGATATCAAAGGAGATATGAAAGATAAACATATATATAATTACACAACTAAATAACCGGGTACACTTTCGTGTACTAGACTGAAAACCTGTTGAAGAATATAATTTTTCTTCAGAAAACCTACCACATGATAGGTAATGTTATTATATTCTTATATTATTCGGCCTTTATTACTTATTTTAGCTTGGAATTCATCATGGAATGACATAAGTTGTAGAAACACTGGAAGCCTGGGAGCACTGAACAACTGTTTCATCCCACTAGTTACGAACTCTTCGGTAGTGCGTACCCACGGCCCCATCCCACTAGGGAACGAACCCACAATTTTCAGATCCCATGGCCAACGCGTTACCATTGGGCCACTGAGTCAAAATCCAATGGCCTATATTTTCTACTCCTATCAGTTCACGATATAGCATGACCTACATCCAATGTCGTCGTTGGGTAATTGTCCTCATGTTTGACGTGGCTTACTCCATTGGTCACTTCTCAATGGAACTTACGGAATCACCTCGAGAAGCTAGTCACCGATGAGCGTTAGATTAATTTTATCTGGAGGTTTGTGGAGATTTACTAATTGGTTTTAGGTAGGAATCCATCATGCTGAGGAGTCCCATACTAGTGTAGTGGGCGTTGCTGATAAAAATGGATATAAGTAGTATATATTGAGGGGGCGGCAGAAATTATAGGAAATTACCGCCAATGGGTAAGGATTCTGCCAGGTCTCCTTCCCATCCCTGCTTTCCACGTCTTCATATGCTGCTTTCGCTCTACTCCTCAGGAACGTGCTAAGCACCACAACCTTCGCTCTTGGATTCCAGACATCCATCGGTTCCGCAACCGACTCGAAGATCCTGAGGAAGACCTTGATGTCTCCATCCTCGAACACTTTAGACCACGGGATCTTCATCACATCCAGAAGCAGCGACACCAATTGAAGGAAATGAGAACACAAAGACGAGGGAATGTTCATTGTAAACAAGTGAGACAGTAGTCGTTAAATATGGTACACCTTGCACTAAAACCGTCATTTGCAAAGTGTGATTCATTTCCTCTTCATACGCCTGCCTTGTATCTTGTGTTTCTCTTCGTGGAATCCTTATCCATTGCTGCGAATTCCCTATGATTTCTGCCACCCTCTCAACATATACTACTTATATCCATTCTTGTCAGCAACGCCCACAACACTAGGACGAAACAGCTGTCCAATGCTCTCAAGTTTTCAATGTTCCTTCGTCCAACTGATGTCAGTCCATGATGAATTCCAACCTATTAGTAAGACAAATCTACTCACTAATAATTAGATTACTTTAAATCATTCCAACTCATGAATGTCATAAAAGACGTTATAAATACTATGCATTTTAGTCCATTTTCGCTGACTGCCCTAGTGGGTGATGAATTCGTTGGTTTTCGTCATTTCCTGCCTTAATCGTTAATCATGTTGTTTGGGAAAAGAAACCACTTAAAATTATTTGATGATCTAGTCATAATATCATAGTCTCCTAGTTGAAAACAGAACCACGAACTAAGGTTGCGAACCTTAGTCGACTGAGATAGCAATAATATGTACTGTGCATGCTAACCTACTGTCTACCTCGACATGACATACTGGGGGAATCTGAATTCGGTCGGAAGAGGGTTCAGAGTGGCCAGACCGAGATTTGGCACCAGTTCATAAAGTCCCTGGTTGTTGGTAAGAGCCATGTACAGAGATGAATACTGCCTGGTTGGGGTCGTCGAGAACTCTTGGTGATATGACTGAGAATCGGTCACAGTGGCACAAATGTATTCACTCCTTGACGTCTCATAAAGCTTGAATATCCGCACTAACCATTATCTTCAAACTGTTTATTCTCGCATACAATTTTGTCTACTTTCGTGATATCACTCTTTTCCTATCCACCTATTCTTTATATACTACTGGGCAGTATGGCAACTTGGATTGATGCAATTTTGAGCGACGTTCTACGTTGATATTGTCTGTCTGTGTATCTGACGAACTAATGTGTAATACCTTGTGATATCATTTGGATAACCAAACCACGATAGATTAAATGGGATCGAATGCGAAACTATGACAGCCGAATGTCTACTTGAGTAAACCAAAACCTTACGAGCATAGAAAATGGCATGATGTGAAGTCAGCTATGAGGAATCTCCATCAGAATGTTATCATTACTAATGTAGTGGGCGTTGCTGACAAGAATGGATATAAGTAGTATATGTTGAGAGGGTGGCAGAAATCATAGGGAATTCTCAGCAATGGATAAGGATTCCACGAAGAGAAACACAAGATACAAGGCAGGCGTATGAAGAGGAAATGAATCACACTTTGCAAATGACGGTTTTAGTGCAAGGTGTACCATATTTAACGACTACTGTCTCACTTGTTGACAATGAACATTTCTTCCTTCATACCCGTTTTCTTGCTTCTTTTACTAATAGTCGAATAAAAAAGGGAAGGATGATAAGAACTAATAGAAGAGCATCAACAATCTCTTCTTTACTATTTATTATAAGTGTATGTCGACAAAGAATAATATTTGATACCCATTGCACAAGAGATGGCTACAGTGCCCCCCAGTGGACAACGCTTCGGCGTTTGAAGAGATGGTGGTGGGGCTCGATTCTCAGTGGGAACAACACCACCCAGTGGGGGTGCAGGTACATCCAGCTGACAAGTCACAAATAGGACGAAACGTACTGGCTGAATCCCACTGCTAAGCAAAACCAAGTAAATCTCCTTTTTGTTACATACTGAGAAGAAGGATAAGCTAAAATAGTCCTTTCTAAAATAATGATATGCGATACTGTTCAAAAAGCAGTATGATATGTGCTAAGCATTTCACCACTATTGAAAAAAGGCAACAATTCAATTCTACTTATTTAACTAAGTATCTGAATTTTCAACACCAATTCAGTCAAGTCAGTGCTTCCATATGATGGTCCAGAGACTTGGCGTGCCACGAAAAGCATTTCCAACAAACTACAGACATTCATCAACAACTGCCACCTACGCTCACTCTTTACTGAAGATCAGATGGTCAGAAAGAATAAGGAACAAGGAACTCTGGGCTGGCTGGCGACGAACCAACCAAGAACCTATCGCCCAACAAATATGCAGAAGGAAGTGGAGATGGATTGGGCATGCACTGAGAAGACCATTCGGGGACATCATGAGCCAGGCACTCGAGTAGAACCCAGATAGGAAACGGCGAATTGGGCGTCTGGAGGTGACATGGAGGAGATCGTGCGAGGAAGAAACGAAAGCTTGTGGGCAGTTGTGGAACCAGGTTGAAAAGATTGCAGAGAACAGAGTGTGCAATGGAGACGTGCTACTGAAACCCTATGTTCCACTAGGAACCCAAGGGACAAATTAACAATAATAATGTCAAATTAAATAATTCAAAGTGAAATGATAACAGTCACTTGCCTCTTTTATCAGTTGTTCAGTGGGACTCAGTTCACAGACTGATTCAAATGGATCTTCAGGTGTGATTTCTTTTGTAAAATAACTACTCAAAATACTATTAGTATGCATTTGAGAATCTGTATAGGAAAACAAAATAAAAAGTCAAACGTATAAATGAGTAGAAAGCAAAAATTATACCAATTAGTATCTGGTTTTCATCATTAATCTGTGAATATGCATTTTCTGAATTAAGATGAGATTAAAATTAGTCTTAAAAACAAAACATGTAAGTTACCTGACTTATCAGAGCCTTCTTCGATATTTCTAACTCTTTCATGACTTAAATTCACATCCATATTCGTTATATCTCAAAAAAAGAGAAGAGAAAATGTATATTGTTAATGGTCTTTTACAACAGGTTTAAATTTCACAACACAAATATATACTACTTACTAAATGATTTCAAGATAAGTAATATGCTTTTTAAAAGAGAAAGAGTAAAATACTCAGTTTTTTAAATACCACGAACAGTGATAGAGGATCCGTCTGCGTGGATGCCTTATATGATGATACGAAAGAAGCAGTTTATAGCCTTGGGAACTTCACCTATTTAAAAAGTCATGTCTATCTTGATGGCTTGACAACCAGTGAAATCTAGGCAGGAATACAAAAGGTTCGATGAATTTATATCAAATTGAGTCACTTATGATAGTTGTGAGGTATGACGGTAATTCACTTGGTTTTGGCTAGCAAAAGAATCTAGGATGCATGTTTCGTCCTATTTAGTACTCACCAGCTGGATGTACCTGTACCTCAGTGAGTGATGTTCCCACTGAGACTCAAACCAAGTTATAACTAATACCCGTTGCACAAGAGGTGGCCATCATACCTCAGTAGCCTAGTGCATAACGCTTCGGCATTTGAAGCGATAGGCGCGAGTCTCAGTGGGAACAACATCACTCACTGGAATGCAGGTACATCCAAATGACGAGTCCCAAACAGGATGAAACGCGCATCCTAGATTCTTCTGCTAGCCAAAACCAACCAAATTACGATGATTAACATTCAGGTAATATCGAGGCATTCACACAGGAGCCCATATGCCAACAGAGGTCAAACAATTCTATCCAATAAAACAACGGAGAATTACAAGCACATATAGCTTATTGATGATGTAGCTTACTGAATAGCAATGCGTTTTGTTTGGCTATATGACTGTATGTCAGAGTCATTAAACCAAGAAGGTCAAATACTCGACTTGTTGATCATTGTTAGCTTCCTAAAATTTCACAGATGTGATTTAAATAATTACTTGAGTAATGTGAAGGTTAAGCAGAGAGTACCAGGTGAAGATGGAAAATTATTTGATGAGGGTAGGAGGGTTTATCGACTGAAATAGTTGGGAAATATAGTGTACATATCAGAAATTATCTAACCAAGAAAACGAATAGAAAAGAATAGCACTGAACTATGAAGTCTCCATCTGCTGATGTCAACTGTGTACGGAAGCGTAAACTTCTTAGCTGATGTGCACTAGATAAGTGAAAGTGACGTTTGGAAGTTGCAGGTAACATACATCACGGTCTATTGCAGTGGATTATACAAACTACAGACAGAACCAACGTAAGATCTAGCACAGAAGTATATCTGTTCAAGTTGCCATACTTTACAGTATCATACAAAATTTGAATATCACCCACATTTTACTAATAGCCCCTTTTGAAGTGGGATATTTTATGACTTCTGACATCTTTCTGTTACCATAAAAGTCCTGACCATGACAACTTACACTGATAGTGAAATACACTAAACCGTTGCTTATTTATGCTAAGGATATTATTGCATTTGCAGTAGTGTGTGTTCATATTTCACTGAATACTCGTCAATTCGGTACATATTTGCTCTTCAAATACACAATTTCTAGTGCAGTGTTACGAAATTTTATTCTTTTATCAGAAAAGCTATGATGACTGTTAAGATCCCTTCACAGGATTAGATAACATTTGATCAAAAGTGTAAGAAATGAGAATGGACCAAGAGATTTTCTCACATTATTAACGTTGAATGTCAGACTTCTCAGGTTCCACGAAAGGAACATACATAAGTCTAATTCAGTAAATACTTTACAAAGAATATATCCAAATAGTATATTATTTCCCTGAAGGTGCAACACAGCAATTTTTGTTTCTTTCTTTCTACCGAAATGGTTGACATCAGTGCTTTACACAGTTTTATCGTGTAGTTCTCACTGACCTCTCCATTCAGTTAACGATCCGTGAAATGTTTTTCGCCAACCATAAAGTAATCAAACAGCAATCGACTTCTTATTTCCAAACTACAAGTGGATGGAAAAAGAAATGCTAAATTATCTAACATTTTGCATCAATGTACTAAGAGCAATGCAACTTTCAGTGTTCCTTCCTACAGCAACTAATTACCTCATATGTTTTCAACTAATTAGGCTGTCAACGTGGAGCACATTTATACCTTAGAAATACCTGCAGTTGTATGTAACCAATGGAAATACCAAAAACGTATGACAAAAAATTTTGCCTGTGCTTGTTGCGATGATTTCTGAATAGAAAAGATTTTAAAATCTCATGGTGTGGCTTATTGGTTTAAATACTTGATTTCCAAGCAATGGGTTTAAATCACACTCTACTTTGGTCTAGTTATATGGGTATTGTTATAAACCTTTACATTAGGCGTAACTCATTGCCTAATACATAAATCTGTACCAAATAGAAGAGCAACATTGTTTTTTGTGGTGAATTTCTAAGCACGTAAGTTGTCTCAGGTCTGTACTCTAAGTAAATTCTATAACTGATTCAGTATGAGTGTAAACAAGTCCAGTACCACCATATCTCATTTCGAAGATGACAAAAGCATTACAAACATTCATAGAACGTTCAAAAAACCCTGGAGCCTGCCAGTCTTAATCAGTCAAGAGAATGTTGTCTGCACAGTTCAATCAGACCATAAAGCATCGTGATAGATGATTAATCTATGAGACATTTAAACTTATGCTTAAACTCATGCTAATTGATATTCTTGGTTTACATCGTGCCTAAGAGAAGTTTGCTTTGATATGAAGATATGGTAACCTAATGGCTCTTTGTCTAGTTCACAAAGACGCAAATGGCAGCTAAACTAAATACAACAAATAAGTAGCGAAATTTCTGATGTTCAAATATAATTATTCTTGTCTGGCACCCATAGACAGAAGCAAAACGTATGCGTAAAATGGACGAAGTTAGAACCCGCTACAAGAATCTGTAAAAACACAAATTCCGTGAAATATTACACAAAAAGCTATTCATGAGTCAAAGACAACCAACAATGGATGGAAGTGAGTGCTAATGAAGTTGAAATCATGCAAATCTAGATAGAATCTATGACTTTGTCAGTCACTGAGTTTCATTATCCGTACATTTTTTGATTTACAATCATATCGGCGACTGCGGAATATGGTACTCTTAACCCGATTAGCTTATGCTTTCTCTCTTACTGATAAAGCATAGGTACGGTATACAAGGATACTTGAAGCTTCACTGCGAAACAAAAATTTAAATCAAATAAGTAAATGACTCAAAACTCTCGAATTTATCTTAAGAATCATCACCATACAGGAAGAAAATCCGTGCAATGGAAGCACCACAACACTTCAGGTTCATGATGATTCATTTGAAGCACAAGAAATGATTATGCGCAAACTAAAGCCACGTCATATCACTTCGGCCTTCTCTAAGGATTGTGATCACTCAGTAAATCAAGCCAAGTGAACTCAGATTCCAATTCAAAAAACGTGCAGGGTTACGGCGTGTTTTGGTTTTAAAATCTTAACCTATTTATCCTAAGGAAATCTTTTCTCAATTTACCAAGAGTAAGAAAAATATATGTAATGCCTAACCAGCATATTTTTGTGTGCATTATTCAAGTGTCTGATCAGTTCCGTTAGGCCAGTTTGCTAGTCATTACTTAGAGTTACATGTCTCACGTATTTGTGGACTTTTTTTAATGCTAGTTTCTCGATACTGCTTAATCATTCGTACATCAGCCTATCTACTTACTACTTCACTAGTGAGTGTGGTTAGTTTTAATTTTCACACATATATGTACGTCGTTTTATCAACAGTTTCTCAGAAGATTTTTGATTCACATACATGAAAATGTTGGGAACAATATCTAAGATGTTTTCGAACTACTGGTATGATGCTACTCTGTACATTTAACCAGTCGGCATCAATAGGGAATCTGGGATTACTGCGTAACTGTTTGAGTTGCCACACCTTATATCAGCACAGTAAAGTAGAAGGGGCCAAAATAAGACGGAGAAATAAGAGGAGGTAATCAAAAGTAGTAGGGAGTCGTAAGGAAACCTGATGATGATTAAGCTACCGGTAGTGAGTGAATGCATTTGTGCCACTGGGCTCGACTCTAAGCCATATTGCTAGCAGTCACTAACCACCGATTCCGGTTGTCATACCGACCATGATCGCGAAGTCTAGACTTCTCTAAGTGACTCAAACCAACAGTCAGAGACTAATATTCTTCAGGCCTAAGCCTACTTCAGCTAACATTTCACAAAAAAGTAAATAGTGACTAGGTATGCGTAACACATGTTCCATAAGCCTTAGTCGATGAAGGTCCACAACCTAATCGACTGAATTTCCTCTTTTACCCCAAAACACACCTGACTTCTACATTACTGGAATCGTGACACCACGATACAGCCTTTGCCATGAAGGCTACGGTGGTCAAACGCCAGAAGATTTCTCATGTTCTTTTCTTTCAGGGATCAGGTTTTACCGTCACATAATAGGACCAAGTGAACTGCAACACAATAAGCTTCACCCTTAATAGGCAATCGGATATCACAGAAGCACCATAAATGGAGTAAGTTAACAAAAGCCCAACGAGCTTTGCATCCATGAGAGGACCTCGTCATTTACTGACTCACTGGGGCTGATCCGACTTCCTAAGTAAGGGAAGTGGCCAACACACTTAACCACTTCACCCCCTAATGCTTAACAAAGCACCAACGTGTAGCAGCCATAGAACAATAATTTGTATTTGGGTGGCATGAAACGCATGCCAAACATTCTCAAGTTGCCACTCAATGCGTCTAAAAGACTGCATTCTGTTATTATCACCTAAGAGGTCTATGTCGTTTGTGTACTCTATGTCTATTGGGGATTCTCCTTCGACAAGATCAATCCCTGTAAAGTCAGGCGAGAAACCTCTATCTATAAGTCTGTAACAAAACTAAATAAGAATAGAGAGTGGATGCTCTAAAGGATACCACTCGATGTACACAACTCAACATGGTCTCTAGGATGCCAACGGGTGCTCAAACAGCTTTTAAAAATGTGATATATTAACCCCAGACCCTTTTTAGTGACTGCCGTAAAACCTCTCGCCGTCACGTCAAGAAATACAGCTGGCGTCGGGTACCAGGAAGTGTACCTGTATTCCGGAACCTGATGGAGGGTTAACATCTGGCAGAAACGCCCAAGACCGGGTTTGAAGCCTGCTTGGTTGTCTCAGGTTTGCTGTTTCTGAGTTTCAATTGGATGTCCAGTAATTATAGAACCTAGAGTCCTATACATTATTTGTGTGAGACTGACCCCTCTATGATTAACAGATAAGGATTTCTTTCAACAACCGTTCCAAAGGGGTCACATTTGATTTCCATAGGCTAGATAACACTTTAGTCGACATGATGAATAACTCTCGACTGTCGTATTTAAATAAATCCGGTAAGAAACAAAAACAAATCCAGCTCAGCAACCACGTTAACGTTTATGCAGTATGCAATGAGCCACACCCATTGTTTGAGGGCTAACGATACTACCTGGTGGCCCACACCTCGGTAGGTGGAGCGAGGTAAGAACTTGTAACCCATAGGTTGCAAGCCAAGAGCTTAAACCAGTGAGCCATAGCTAGTACTAACACATCCAGACCCACTAACCTTCTTTTTTCCAGGTTACATACAGCTTTCACAACTTCTGCAAGAACTGAACCTTTCGTTTGAATTTAGCATTCGAAATCCAACTGGACAGCCAGCAACCTAAGACTGGTTTGAGATCAGCTGAAATATTCCGCACAGTGCTCCATCTATTGTTTTAACTGTCTATTCTAGGAGTGTTTTACAGACATCCTGTTCCGCTATGGTTTTACCAACCATTAACTTCTTTGACCCAGACTCCTTTATCAGTCTAAGCAAGTTTACTTTTACCTATGGCCACTGCTGTCTCTAGAATTTACTGCCCGCTACTAGTCACAGTCATCATTTACTCTTTGTCAATCTACTATTCTTTGAGCTCAGAGCTTACAGGAATGTTTGTGTAAATTCGTTAATTGAGCAGGCGAGATCTAATGACCCTAAATAACTTTTCTTGAGGGTCAGCTAGGTCTTTAATGATGTTTTTGCAATAGACTGAAGATTTCACCAGGCTTCTTTTGGATGGTAGTACCATCCTAATAACTGTCTAGACAGTACCTTATTGAAAATAACCAGTGTTCTTACTATTGACTTGCATTTTGAATGATCTTGTTGCTCTATTTTTCTACGTCCATATAGGGGCAGACAAACGTGTACTTGAATACGATTGGTCACTGTCAAAACATATGTTCCAGAAGGAGCGGCAGTTTTTTACCGACGTCCATTGCCAACTGATAGCAACATAGTCCATGCGCAACGACCGTTAATTTGAGGACTATGAAAACCACGTTGGAAAATCTCTTCTCATGTCAGTTAGTGTTAGCCAGAAATAGATGGTAGCTTGAGCAGTCGTAACAGATGATAGCCCTAAGAAGATGAAGCTTTTTCCCTTCAATGAACATCACATAATTTGTCGATAGTGAACCGACAACTTAAATGAGTGTAGTAGAAAGTGAAGTGTTGCAAAGCGGAAGAACAAGTCGCAGCAGCAAGCATAGTGAAAATCACTGTTATTGTCCGTTACGCTAAAAGAACTAAAATTTAAGGCGAAAAACCTAACAGCATGTATCAGATCCATCCTCAAATATTATCAGATACAACAAACATTACTACTATAGCGCTTGTGGTTGTTTCCCATATCGTAGTCAGCCAGAAAAAGCGAAAATGAAAATGTAATTATTATCCCGACCAATTTAGTGACGTTAATTATTGTCCAGGTATTTTGACCATCACAGTGGACTAGATTTTAGAAAAGATCACTCTTGAGGGTTTTTAGGTTGTGGAAATAGGTGATCTTTTCACCACGGCCATAGTACTTTCCAACTAGTTAGCTCTTGGTTAATAGAAATCATTACACCAAACATTTATATTTAATAGGCATAGATGTAGTGTAATATACTGTCATTTAGTGGATGATTACTTCCCAATTAATTTTTGAGTTGACTTGGAATAACCAGTAATTTCCAGTTAGTTCAATAGCTCTGGTTCCGAAATCCATGATTCCATATTACCTACACAATTATTCCTCTTGTAGGTTAGCTGGGAAGAATCCATGAGAAGTATAAGTCTAAAGATTAAGATAAATTAACTTCGACCTACTGCTCCAGCTTACTGCAGAGTCCAGAATTCTCACTTCTGCTGTTTTCGATACCTTCAGCTCCATCTTTACTCAATTAATTGTGTATAGACACTTCTCAACTCACACGTTAAAATAAAGTGGAGTCAAAGGGATGAGAGGCTGGCTGACACTAGAAAGAACGCTACAAAGATTTACAGTGGTATTTTAATTTCAGTACGTTGTCATATTTTTGTTCCATCTTTCAGTTAAACGAGGCTTTGTTCTCATCTGTCTAAGTTGATCAATAATTGTGGTCCTTAAACATCCAGTAATAACCACTATATAGACATTATCACTGAATAAACTACCAATTCCCAGTAATATTTCATGCTATACTTTGGAATTTTTGCTATATATAGCAGAATATTTAGACGCTTTCATAAAGACTTTTAGAATGGGATCAATTGAGCTGACTTAATGACCCACTTTAGTACTTACAAAGGGTCGAAGTAACATCGACGTGGCTGTCATCCACAGATCTACGGACTTGTGACTGGCTGTTTCATGGAAAAGAAAACACTCTTACCGACTAAAAACATGAAGTTTATTTTTTTGTTATGAGTCTAGAATCTTTACCTTGCAACAAAGTGAATACTACGAAGTTAGCGGTTTATTGCCAAATAAGCATAACGTAGATCAACCTTGAGATCCAAGGTCAAGTGGGTCAAACCTACCGCTCAAAAGGTATACATTCACATTCACATACACTGCATACAAACAAATACTGTACTGAAAGCGAGCATAGATTGTACAAGTGTAGGAAATCACACGTTTGGCTTTTAAATTTTAATTTACAGCCCTGATTGTTAATAACTGGTCTACTGTACTTAAAGCATACGAAAATGTTGGACTGAACGAGTTAGGTTTATATGAGCGGAAAGCTATCTTTCTTTCAGGGTAAGTGCATGAAGAGGCTGCATAGATAGAGTGATGATATGCTAGCTTCTGCAAATCACATTTTCAAATAATAATACTTTTTTGTCTTAGTTTAGTTAAACTTAAGACAGAAACTGATTATAAGGGACCGGAAGACAGTTGCAAGCACTTGCGATAAGCGGAATTTCAAATCTGGTGAAATACTCCACCCTCACCATCTCTTGCCGGCTTCGTCTTGACGACACTGGCAAATTGGAGGATAGCCTATTTCAGAGCCAGACTACTGGCTGGTAGTTTTTCAAAAACCGCAAATACAAGTAATAACAAGTACTCCGTCAGATCGAAGTCACGCATTTATAGAGATGTGAATATAAACCTAGAATGATGTTCTGAGAAATAGGCAGAACCCATCGCAAGTAACGTTAAGAAACATATCAAAGTGCTGAACGCCACTGCCGAATAACCGCTGGGCCTCAACTATCAAATGTGTTCATACTAGTGAAAATAAATATGCAGGTCAAACAGCATTGACATTCGGGCCATTGATTCCAGGGATTTAGTGACCACTTCAACGTTAAGTCGGCTTTCAGTCAGTGTATGGAGGCAAACTTGAGAGATGAAACATGAATGTACAAAGAAGATATAGGTAAGCCGTTGTTGAGAAATTAGTAATTATATTGATGACACTGAACGGTAAAATGATAGATTATTAAATGCAACAGAAAACGGCGAATTCAGCTATTCTCTTGGGCCAAACTAATGTGTTTGCTCTTGATATCAGTATACACAAGCGTCTTAGCAGTTTACACCGCTAAGAAACCACTTAGAAAAGGCAGGCATCTTGAAATATCTGCTACGTACTCTTGAGACTTCAGAGGACGATACTGATAAGTTCTGGCGCACCCCACTGACGTGCAGAGATCCATTTCCTTTAGTTGGTCTCTCACCTAAGACACTAACAAGAGACTTGTTTGGGGGATTTTTCGTGAAACGTATCGTTCTAAATCCAAGAGAAATAACTGGACAAGGGAAATAAAACGAAAGCATGTCGTTCGGGTGTTATAGAATGCCAAAGACAAATGGTCGATCCCTTCTGAAAATCTCCGAAACCTCAAAGGTAGTGCTGGCTCAGTCCAATGGTCTTCATCACTGACGTCACTGTGGGTAACATAGTCGTTTGGCAGTATCTGAAACTCTGCTCGTTATTTTTTCCCAAAGAGAGAACATAAGATGACTCATCATTGCTATCGTAGTAGTCACTGCTTGTGGAGTGGTGAAAAGTGAGTTGTATAAAGTGGCCACTTTTGCCATCAAAATAGATTGTTGAAGGTAGCCACATGCTGGCAATTTTCCGAAGAGGGGTTTCGACGGTCACGTCAGTCTGTTTATAGTGCCTGTCTCTTCGCTTGGTAAGGTGGTGGGCTTAGGTGGACGATGTGTGGTGTGCTGATAGGTATTTGATCCGTCTGTCAGAAGAATGACTGCGAATTCTGCCAAAATCTGGACCAGGAATGTTCTCTCCGAAAGGAATCCTGACGCAGCATGCCCCTTGGCTAGGGAGTTTCTATATCCGAGTGAAGCCGTCTAAGTTGTTGCTGCCTGTTTAGAGCCTCTTTGCGAAGACTCCTGTTTTTCTGCATCCATGTGCTAGACTCATTCTTCGAAGCTGCGGATGCAAGGCAGACCTAATTTTTCTTCCCTAGCTTTTAACAGGCTCTTCGCTTGCTAGGCAGTAGGAGAAACAAATGAAAGAGATTCAATTCGTAAACACCGCGTACACGCTGGGAAATGGTACGTCCTAGTTCACTTCATACTTTACGAACACCTTTAGTGCTACAGTAAAGCTTGCTGGCTCGCCATCTGTACCATCAAGGGCCGCTCAAAGTCGTCGCTTTGTCAACTGTTATCAATTCGATAAAGCCTGTAAACTGATTTTTATGATGAATTCATAGTATGAATAATGAATTAATTATTCATTTGTAACACAGTAACCAACAGACCCGAAACTTGAGGTTTGCCACCACCAATGGAACCTGTCCTAGGGTCGAATTCCGATGAGTGTCCCAACCAAAACTCGGTGTGTATTGAACAATCAGGATTGCCACTTTGAAGGTCGCGATGGCCTGGATAAACATGTTTCCACCAGCGTGTAATTTGTTTCATCGTGGCTGTGATAGAGGTGAGAGATTTTCCATGATAATCGCTTGAACACTGATGTGGTCACGTGGCCTCTGTCAAGAGGCTTTCGCACTCGCATTCCGTCTGATGGATGATGATCTTCACTAATAAAGCCTTTCAACTTTAGTTCCCCCCACCTGCATCTAAGCGGCCCTTGTCAACGATGTTACCACACAAAATTCTCTCTTCTTGATGGTGATCAGAACATGCCAACAAAATGCTCTGCCTAGTGTGATGTTATCCTCTTCCAGGTTCGGAGGTAAGGTGTTAAACTCCCTGGTAATAATAAGCTTTCGTTGCACCGAAAAGATGATACGGTTGTTATTAATTACAACAGTCGTTGCTCCTATCGCACACCGAACTTTGTGACCGACGGATTTCACCCAAAACTACCTTATATGGTCAGCGGAGTGTTTTGTCAGCCAACTTGGGATACATCCTTTTACTACTAGCACCAAAGTAAGGCATCAGCGCCCATAAACTTGCAAAGTGACGGTCACGTGGACAGATACTCCCCTTTTAACCAACATCTCAATGTCTGACATTAGCAGAAGCATGGCTTCCATTTATCATCGAAAATTCATAATGGTCGACACGCTTCACATCATTTCCTTATCGAATAGTAGGAGTGCGATTAGCCAGAAGAACCTCTGTAGGGGCCAAAATATAATTACTCTGGTCAGAATGCAGTATCCAGGCCAGAATGGCTTCGAACCAACCAAAAGTACACGACTACGTCCTTTCTGAATAGTTCGCTTAGCTTTCTTGGGTTACGCATAGTCAAATATATCTCAGTGATGGCAGAACACAACTGATATGGTTAAACCCAGATTACACATGAAATCTGTGTTACCATTGAATCGTTATACAGTATAAAGCAGAGGTAACCCGATGATGGCGCTTTGTTACTATGCCGTCAGCAATGAATTTTTTGATTTAAAGTATCAACCTTTATGACAAAAAAGGGTATCTACAAGCGACGAGGATCACATACAAAAAACTGATGATATTCCCGGCAAAATGGGATCAAAATCCTGCCGACAATAATCAAATCAGGTAACAAAAGTTTCAAGTAGGCAGTCAAAGGACAAGCAGTCACTTCATAGTGCAACTTTAGGTTGTTGTATACCATATTCCATTGCTGCTTATAGAGCACATGTTTGCAAAGAAATAGGTCGTTACTGCATGCAAAGACGCTACAAAAGTAAAGTCTGTGTAGTGGTATGTTCTGACGTTGAGGTATCTTCAAAATAAGGCATTCTTTTCTGTCAATCTGCTGCTGCCAAACACTGGTCTACGGTTAAATGTGTTTCCTAATTGAGTTCAAACCTCACTTCTAAAGTGGCTGACATTGGGAAGACGATTTGTTGGCCCGCTGTGAACTGGCAACTACCCATGAGTGGTACATCACTAACAGACTAGTTAATGGGGTTCTGCATTTCAGCATTGGCGCAAGCCACAATACGCGCTTCGCTGGAAGAACCAAGACATTCTCTAGAAGTCCATCCGAGGGAACCAGTAGCTTAACTAAAACTCAGGGGATGCAATGCTTAGAAGCGTAACGACCACAAATATCATCTTTAAGTTACGGTACTGCTTTGACAAACCCTTGTTGCAGCGGTAGCCCATCCACCACTTTCGGAAGCTACACTAGAAACATGGATCGCTTCTGGTTACGGCCACATATTTGACAATCATTATCCCTGTCTCTACTTTTCGCCGACGACTACTTATTTCTTTACCTCCTTGTGTAGGCGGTCTTTGGGCGTAGTGCAGGAGAGTGCTCAGGTACCAGCATCGTCTGGTGTATAACACAGCCCATAACATGCTATCCTTTCAGAGTGACAAGGGTTCAAAAGGTTGATAGAATCTGTGGAACAGGTAACTGTGAAGCTAATAGCATACCAGACTTAGATAATTAGCTAAGTTTTGTTAAGTCATTCTCAAAAATGTTATTCGCTGGTTTCGTTACCTTTGAGTCACGGAGTAGAGGCCACACCTGGAAGTTCCTAAGCAACCGCTTTCTCGCACCATCTGCCCCTTATGGACTGGCTTTGCTTGTTCTAGTTGGGGCTCATAAATCATTGTCGCAGCTGATGTGTGGCCGGCCGCTTTATGCCGACTTACGTCTCAACCATACAATTCGACCTTGCCCGCCCCACCTCACTAAGTTCCCCTACTTTCACCCAGCCTCAGCTAATACGGCATTTTAGTCTAGTCTACAGGATGAGTGGGGACACGTAGTTATCTTCCCACAAAAATAGCCAAATGAAGCACCTTTGCGTAGCTATTTGCTTGTCATAATGGAACCTTCAGACTTCCTTAGCATCCGAATCAGTGATAATTTTAGAACGCGAAACGAATTCTTGTGTTCTGATATCCTCATTTACTTTGAGTTGTTTTGTGGCTGGGCTGATGGGCAGCAGCTTCCCATACTCCTTCCTTTCGTCCTTTATATGAGTTGCATATCTTGCACAACTTAAATGTAGGGGCACAAAAGACCGTACCACAAGCTGTAGGTCATCTAACGAGGTTGGTAGTCGAACAGGAACTAGATTATGGAGACTACTTAATACTCGCGATGCCACCTGTCTTCAGGATACCCAAAACAATTTCACGACAAAGACAACATCCACTGAAACCCATTGTGTTGCGTGGTCAAGGTGAGAGCAATTAGCCTCCAACGATG